GTCATATGCTTACTATGTGCCAGATACTCTAAGAAATGTTTATACATATTACTGAAATATCAACAATCCTGCACGATAGAAATCACAATTCCTGATTTTACAGATGGGAAGTGGAGGCTCAGAGAAGCTGAGTAACTTGCCAAGAGGTCATATTGCTAGCACGTGTCAGAGCCAGAATCGGAATCCAGGACAGTCTGACTACAAAGCTTCCATTCACCTAAGTCATGCTGCTTTTCCCAGTGTCAATAACTTTTGCTTGCTTCCATTTATGTTGCTCAAATACATTTGTCTTTTATCTCTAAGAGAGTGCTTACATTGAGGAACCAACACGCTTTCACAGTTGGGCAGGGCAGTGAGGCAGTCAATCCTCTCACTTCAGTGGTCCTAAAGCCTATTAAGGTTACATGAACATTCAAGGTTGCACTGCCAGTTAATGACACATCAGTATCTCCTGATTTCTGGTTCAAGACTTCTTTCATTAAGACTATTAGTAGTACCAGCATAAAAAAGAAAAAAGCAATTCTGATAAACATAACTCCCAAATTAGATTTTCTTACTGAATACAAAATACAAATGGCACCAGAATTACCAAGTAATTATTATTATTATTATTATTATTATTATTATTCTTTTTTAACATTGGTAGTAGGGTCCTTCTTTCCTTCCTTCCTTCCTCCCTCCCTCCCTCCCTTTCTTTCCTTATTGTTATTTTTTTTCTGTGAGGAAGATCAGCCCTGAGCTAACATCCATGGTAATCCTCCTCTTTTTGCTGAGGAAGACTGGCTCTGAGCTAACATCTATTGCCAATCCTCCTCCTTTTTTTTAATTCCCCAAAGCCCCAGTAGACAGTTGTATGTCATAGTTGCACATCCTTCTAGTTGCTGTATGTGGGACGCAGCCTCAGCATGGCTGGAGAAGTGGTGTGTCAGTGCGCGCCCGGGATCCGAACCCGGGCTGCCAGTAGCGGAGCGCACGCATTTAACCGCTAAGCCACAGGACCAGCCCCTCAAGTAATTATTATTAAAATGAATGCAGAAGTCCTTTACTTGAGAGAGCTGATCTCTCTAAATAAAAGGCAATAAAGAAGGATTACTATTTGTATAACTTGGAATTTATGTAGTTAATTACGGATAATAATTACCATTTACAACATAGCTCCAGGTTGTTTTAGAGCTAAGGAAATAAACAGTAGATATTGTGAGAAAAGAGAAACCAGGATAGTTAGGATGATAACTGTAAAGACCATCACTTTAATATCTTTGATTGCAGGTACAATGCAGAGAAATACTTAACAGCTTCACTTCTGAAGAATCTTTAAATATTGGGATTAGTGAGTATCACTTGGGATATTTTCAACTGCACGTAATTGAAAAACCAGGCTGAAAGTGGCTTAAACAGTGAGGGGTTATTAATCTTATACAGCAAGAAGTCCAGAGGCAGGAAGGTCCCAGAGCTGGTTAATTCAGCACTGTAGTATTATCACAGACATTCCCTCTTTCTGCTCTACCACAGCCAGTAGTCAGCCTGTCTTCCTTCATGATCCAAGCAGTTCCAGATGTCCCATGTAACACAACCATATCCAAAATGTAACACGTAACACAACAATATCCAAAACGTAACACGTAACACAACAATATCCAAAACGTAAGAGAGGCATTTCCTTTGAGATATCTCTTTCTATTACTGAGAATATGTTTTCAGCAGCTCCCCAGCAGACTTCTCCTCCAACTCCCATTGACCAAGATTAGGTCAAGAGTCCTGCTTCCACAGTAACTAGCAGGAGAAATTAGCCCATCAACACTGGCGTAAACAATCATTATTCACCTACGGAGGCTGAAAGAGCACAGCCTCCATTAAGTATGTGGCTCTACAGACCAGTAACCCAGATAAAAACGGGTGCTCTTTCAAGAAGTCAGAGGAAATGGATTTGGGTGGGAAACCAACAGTGTCCATTAGAGTGAGCTTTTTTGGGAAGTAGAAGAAACAACAGAATTAGTTCTACTCTTGCCCACAAAGGCAGGAATTTTAGTGGTAAACTGAAGACTGTGATGACTGTTATTCAGAGGTGGAATATATTACTTGAGCATAGTCTACATAACTTTCAGTTTCCATTTTCATAGCAGAGAAACGTGTTATTATGCTTTGGTTAAACACTTTTTTTTCATCTATGACAGTTTCCCATTTGCCCTGCCTTACCAGTAAGACACAGATGAGGAAATAGACACAAAATTCAGCTAACTTTTAGGAGAGGCCTGAGGAAGATCAGAAGGTAAGAATTTCTTAACGTAACTAAAAAAGGAGTTTACATTCATTAGAGAAAGAAAATTAAACAGACTCTTTCCTGAAATGGAATTTTATGAATTATAAGGAGTTAAAAGAGTTGGAAGGTAGATCAGAAAATGGGGTGAGGAAAGGTTATTGAGGAGGGCAGAAGAAAAGAAGTCAGATTTTTTCACTGCCAGGAAAGAGCTGTTGACCTAGGAGAAGGGATAGAGTATAAAACACGAGGGAGCTGGGCAGCATGCAATTAAGATATTGATACTCATAATTTAGGAAGTTTTTGTATTATTCATTAAAATACCATTGAAACATTCTTTCAACTTTTGCAGAGCACACCTTCAGAATAACCAATCGCAGTGTCTTTCTGCACAAAAATCTTTAAGTATAAAGTGTACTAGTGAATTTGGCTATTCAAGCAACATATTATCAGATACTGCAGACAGATCATTTTTACAAGCTAGCTTTATAGTGTATGGATGACATTTTTTCTGGGATCATACCATTCCTTGAAAACTGGAAGCACATGACCTACTTAATTGTCTCCATAATTATCCAAGTATAGTTTATAAATGTGAAATATTTCAATTAAGTAAAACTTCAAGTATTTTTATAAAAGATCTTAACAGAATCAAAAACTTAAAGTAGATGTTCATAACACTACAAAATATGTAGATAATGTCACATATCCAATGATATGCCCATAATTTCTGGCTCAAAAAATAACAAATAAAATGGCCCTTTCTGTATTTAATTCAGGGTATTTACTGATTCTCTTAAGCCAATTCAGGAACTCCTTAGATTAGCAATTTCTGCTTTAGAATCTCACCTTATTTGGGAGGCCAAAAAAATAAATAATAAATTTCTGATCAATTACTTCCCTTATTTACCAGCCTTAGCAGCAAGGGACTTGGGAGTATTTCAAAAATTCAACTCCTTGGGGCCGGCCTGGTGGTGCAAGTGGCTAAGTGCGTGCTCCACTGCGGCGGCGTGGGGTTCGCCGGTTCGGACCCTGACGCGCACGGACGCACCGCTTGTCAAGCCATGTTGTGGCAGCGTCCCATATGAAGTGGAGGAAGATGAGCACGGATGTTAGCCCAAGGCCAGTCTTCCTCAGCAAAAAAAGAGGAGGATTGGCAGGTGTTAGCACAGGGCTGATCTCCTCACACACACACACACACGAAAAATTCAACTCCAACCTCAAAGAATAAAAATTTGCCAGCATTGAGAGTATTTAGCAGAATATACTAAAGTCTTAAAAACAATTAATGCCAAAGGTATGGTTCTAAAAAGTATTTTGGTAATAGCAGTACTAGTACAGCATATAAATAGTTTTCCAAAGTGACATTTTTGTTATGTTTGTTCAAAATGAGTCACCTTATTTTATTAGCATATCTTGTAAAAGTAGCTCTTACAGGTTAGTAAAGAACACAACATAGAATAAGATTCACGTGTAAGAACTCTGTGAACTTAATTTTCCAAAAAGAAAGCCACCATTAAATCAAATAGCATGCCAATCTTTCCTGTTAATACCACAAATTGCCACCTTTTGAAAGTTCTGAACAAGCAGAACAATTCAGACAAAGAATCAAAAAACATCTTAAGTTCAATTAGCAATAGGCCTTATTTTAGCCAAACTGATTTTGCAGTGAATTTTTCTTTTAACAATATAGTATCTAATTTAAAACTATTCTACACTATAACTTGCTTGGGAAAAATTATTACTGTAACAGATAAAACGGCCTCTAATAGTTCTGTCAACAGGAATTATTCAATTTTATTCTCAGAATATATATTTTTTAAATGTATGAAAAATCTGTTTTTAAAAGGGTTAGGGTTGAATGATGTTGACATCTCTACATTAAAATACATGCTGTGACAGTTAAGTACTAAATATACTTGCATAATTCATATAATATAAAGAAGCAGTTCTAGTTTTTGAAAACCATTAGAGGCCACAGACATTTGCAAGACAAAAGTCTGCAGCAAACCAGTTTACAGGAAAAACAGATGAAATAATTTAAATTGCAAAATATTTCTAATCTGACCATGCTGAAAACGAAAAACTCACAAGAAGACAACAGAACAATCAAGATGAATATAAGGCATGAATATAAGGTTTCCTGAGTGTGGAAACAAGAATAACAGAGTGAAAAACGTACGGAAACTGGTAGCTGCCTGAGAGGGGGAGGCTGTTGGAACAGGGTAAATCTAAAATTAGAGACTTAAGAGGATTGAGTATGTCACTTCCAGACAAGAAGAATTCACTGATGAAACGTTTGGCTTTCCTCTCTGATGTTTCAACAGTTTTTTTCAAAAATTTTCACTCTTTGCGAAACCTGGAGATTACTTTTCACAATTCTTTTTAGCCAAGTACAGTATTTTAATAATTCTGCCAACACAGCAATCAGGTGAAAGGTGAGTGAGGAAGAAGGGCAAAGACTATGAGACAGATTACAGTCAGCAGCGATGTGTCAGGAGGGATGAGCAAGTCAGAATTAGATGAGCCGAGCAGTGGTGGGGCAAGAGGAAGGGAGGGTCTGGAGGAAAATCCTGAACACGGGTCAGGGATGGGAGAGCAAGCGTGCGACCCAGGACGAAGGGAGGTCTATCAAAATAAGGCAGCTGGCGGGGAGTTGGCCTGAGAAGCTGTGAGTGTGGTTAGACCAGCCCGCCCTCCCGCCCTACTTTTTCCTCCTGTAGAAGAGGCAGCGGCCAGTCACCTGGAGTGTGAGTTCCGGAGGGACTCGATCAGCCGCTGCTTCTGCTGCTGGAGGCTGGTGAGGCCACCGGGAGACCCAGCTGCCGAAGAGGAGGCGGCGCTCTTGGTCAGGGGAAAGAGCCAGCTCATCCTCCACCGGTCCCCGGGCCCGAGGCCCTAGAAAGCTCTGGCCTGCTTCTCCCAGTTGCTCAGCCCGGCGGTTCTCCAGCGACGGAGGAGCGGGCCGGGACGCCCGGGGCCCAAGTGCCGGGAGGCCGCGTCTTCTCTAACCCAGCCCGGCCGGAGAGCCTCTGGTTCTGGGGGGCATGCTCTGACTGCCGGCAGCTGGAGAGAAAGAACTCCTACCTTCACGACCCTGACGCCCAAACCAGCCAATCAGCGAGCCTGACCGCGCAGCGCTCCACCTCCCCAGCCTCCGTCACCTGCGTGTCCCGCCCCCTCTGCGTGTCGCGTCATCATCTAGCGCCCCCGCCAGGACGTGCGAGAAGCGACGGCGCAGTACGGTGCGGCGCAGCTCCGGCTCCCCTTTCCCCTTTGCTGGGCAAGAGGTGTCTATGGGGCACCCGCTGCCGCCGCCGCTACCACCGCCACCGCCGCCACCGCTGGGTGCTGTCTCTATGGCGAGGAGGAGGAGGAGGACCGCGAGCTCAGCGACACAAGTAGATCTTGCGTCCGCCGCAGCCCTGCGGGGGAGGGGCGGGTTGGGGAAGTAGAAAAGGGGCGGGAACGGTCGACCTGAGAGGGTGCGCGATGGCGCCAGCTGGAGCGCGGCTGGCGAAGGAAAGAGCGAGGCGGCGGGTGGAAGGGGGAGGGTAACGGGGGCTAGGCGTCTGTCAGGGGGATGGCGCGGAGTGATGACGTGAAGGCTTTGTACCTGGAGCCTCGATGTTGTGGGACGGAAATTGGGAGCGGAGGGCGGTGGCCTAGATCCTCAGCTCCTCGTATTCCTTCACGCTGCAGTGCCTGGGAATTAATCTGGCTCCAGTAAATGGTTATCGGCACCTTCGCACTGGCTCTCTGCCAGGGAAGAGCGTTATCGATGACTTGAATACCTCTGTGCTGTCCTCTCGTTTCTTTGGGAACCTGCACTACGGGGATGCTACCTCCAGTAATGAGGAGGCCTTTGGTGCCTCTTCCGGGCTTCTGGAACTGTAGTAGAGAGAGAGGTGGAGGAAAGCAGTGTTCAACTGCAGGGTCTTTCTAAAGTGTGTGTGTGTGTGTTTAGCGGATTGGGGAGGGCTCTGAAGAAGGGCCCCCCTGGGTGTTTGGTTTCTCTTAGAGCACTTGAGGCTACATTTGTGACTGCGGAGTTTAGAAGGGAGGGGGTCACAATTCCCTCTTTTACCCTTGTTTGTTACGATCTTGTCAAACTTGTGTGAAAAATGAAAGGAGTATTTGGAATTTCCCTACCCAAGAATCAAGATGTTGGTCTGTAGTCTTACCATTGTACACCAGGAAACCTGTGTTTACGGACCAGAAACGTGCGATGTGTGTTTGGTAAACCAGGGAAAATGCTCTGAGTTTTAGGAAATTAGAAAGAGAGAAAATTTGAGATGCAGACACTCTGTTGCTTCCCTTCTTTCTCCCTCCTGCAGTTATGGACATCTGAACAATTTCTGTGACTGTTACTTCTTTCTCAGAAAGAGCTTTTTTTTTTTTTAATTGGTTTACTTTTGTTCCCTCTAATTGGACTTGAATAAATGCCAGTAAAGCAGATTTTGTAATTATATCAGATTTTGAATGATCTATTAGTGAGGAATAAAAGCAAACACTATCTTTGTCCTAGTAACATCTGATCTTGTCACGTGTGTATCAGTATTTAACTTTTCATTTTTATCGGACATGGACGTCTTCATAAAGTTTTCAGAGAGTGAGTTGAATTCAGAGCAATATTAATTAATGGAAAGTTTTAAAAAAATAATTAGCATGTACACATAAAAACCTAAATTTACATAACATTCATTTTAGAAGCAGAAAACGTGTGTTGTAGTCCTTTTTTTCCTACTGATTAGTATTGTGACTTGTCTAGACAAGTCACTTCCTAAACTTTGGTTTTCTGATAAATCAAGGACTTTGAATAAATAATCTCTTAGGTTTCTGTCAGCTCAATGATTCTATGATTCAGATTTCTGGTATAGCTGGGTTTTATTTTGGTTTTTATTTTGACAGGTGCACAAATAAAGGATAAAGTATTTTATGAAACAAATCTTCAATCAAGTATAACATTTTGATGCTTGGCATCTAGACTCCTTGTGCCCTCACTATGCCAGCAGCAACAGTAGATCATAGCCAAAGAATTTGTGAAGTCTGGGCTTGCAACCTGGATGAAGAGATGAAGAAAATTCGTCAAGTTATCCGAAAATATAATTACGTTGCTATGGTATGCATATGATTAAGTCCTTAAAATCCTTCTTATAAAAGGGGAAGAGGAATTTTAAAAGTCTTGAATTCAACCCTTCTGGTTGATCTTTTTAGGGATTCATTTAATTATGAAAAGAATATTTTGTCAGTGTCCTCCAACCAAAGGCTGCCAGGAATACAGCTGTAATGTGACAAGTTGGATTTATTACTCATTGCAGTGAGGGAAAATGCATACCATTGGAACCGTGGGGCACTTGAGAAAGAGAGTGTAAGAAAGGACTTCGAGAATCTGGGCTTGTGTCAGGTGGTTTTAGGGAGGGATTAAGGAAGCGGGGCTTTGCTCTGGATTGGATGATGTTGAGAATCTGAGTAATTCCATGATAGGGTATCTTCATGAGTCTTAACTGGAATGAATGAAGACTAGTGTGAGGCTGTCGCTGTAAAGAAGCAACAGCCACTCATATTAGCCAAGATCCAAGGATTTTTGGTCATTTTTGTGATTTGGGCAATGTTTACGTTTTTGTCTATGTTCAGTCATGATTACATAGTGGCCTTGTCTGATGATGAAGTGTGAAATTGTTTATATCCAATAGAAGAACATTAGGATCTAGCTATGAGAGCCAGGTCAGCTCCTAGCAACACCAAGGCCTAACTGATAATAGATGAGTTTCCAGAAGCTAGGGAGCTCCTGGATCTCTCTCTCAAACAAAAAATCAGATCTCCCAGTGAAACACTGTGGAACTGCAGTGTTTGTTGTTTGTTTTAAATTATCAGTGGAGTTCCATGAGCACACTTTGCTGTTAAGTATCTCTGCTTTTGCAGATACTGTTCAATCTGCCTAGACTGTCTAATTATCTTGATTCTTCACTACTATACTTTTGTATGTCTGTTAAAACGCCTCTCCTATTTTCTAGATTATTAGCTCTGTGAAGCAAGGGGTTAGTATCTTAATCATCCTTTCTCCCCCCAACACCTAGCATAACACATAGCATCCAATAAAAGTGGTTGTTGAGTAGGACAGAATTTAGAGAAGTTTTAATTTTTTTACTGTTTCATAGTGACGTGGTATTTAGATTTTGTTCTTAGCTTCCTAGTTTGAATTTTAATACTAAACTGTTGTATCATTTTCTCACTATTTTTAATGCAAATAAATAAATACACTTCTATGAGGAGGGGCAGGTTGATTGGTTAAAATATGAATATTTGTACATAGATAATGTTCTATTTAATAAAGGTGTACTTACCCATAATTAGAATTGAAGTTTTTTTTTATCCAATAGAAATTCATAATGATTGTTTATTTCTTGGATGATAAGGAGTGACAACATTAGAGATGTGATAACATTCTACAGGAATAAGAGGGTGGCATGCAATTTTTGATGACATGCTGTCTTGGAGAATAGAGAGAGTACTGTTTTAGCACAAGAAATTAGGAGGGTTTTGGTGTTTAGATAAACGTTTTCTCAGAGAAATGATCGGAAAATGTGACGCATTTTCCATTCTTTTTAACCAATTCTTCATTGGTTTTAACTTTAGAATACTGTGAGCATAGTTTCACATACCCCTTGAGAAACATGAATTTATGACTTTTCTGCCTCCTTGGCAATAAAGTTCTTGGTTGCATTTATCATATATATCTTATACATAATAATTTTTTTACTGTTATGATATTTAACGTAAGAAAAAGTCAGGTTTGTAGAGTTTTATTTTATGGCTCTGAAAAGTAATGCTCTTTTTTTCGTTTTTTCTTTTTGCTTTTTGCTGTTGCTGTTACACAAATTGATTTATTTTCTCTGATTATCCTCTGCTCACCACCTTGAAGAGTAAATATTTGTAGAATAAATGAAAGGATTAAGAAATTAAAAATAATTCCACTGATAAGACCTTACTTTTGTGTGTGTGTGTATATATATTCACAGTTTGTTTTTTCTAGGTTATTCTTTTTTTTTTTAATTGCGGTAACATTGGTTTATAACATTATAAATTTCAGGTGTAGATCATTATACTTCTATTTCTGCATAGATTACATCATGTTCACCACCCATCACCACACAAATGTGCTTAATCATCCCTTTTGCCCTCCTCCATCCCCCCTTCCCCTCTGGTGTTTGGTTTTTGTTGTTTTTATCTTCTACTTATGAGTGAGATCATATGGTATTTGACTTTCTCCCTCTGACTTATTTCAGTAATGCTCTTTTTAATTAAAAGATATTTTATAATTGAATATGAATGTGTAGAATATCATCTATAATGAGATCCTTTGACTTGTACCAAAAATTTATTATTTATTCTAGGAATTTGTGGTTTGTGGTTTTGACCACTTAGTAAATAATGAATCTTAAAACTATTTTACAGGACACCGAGTTTCCAGGTGTGGTTGCAAGACCCATCGGAGAATTCAGGAGCAATGCTGACTATCAGTACCAGCTATTGCGGTGTAATGTAGACTTGTTAAAGATAATTCAGCTAGGACTGACATTTATGAATGAGCAAGGAGAATACCCTCCAGGAACTTCAACTTGGCAGTTTAATTTTAAATTTAATTTGACGTAAGTGGGAAATAAATATAACTAAAACTTTTTTTTAGTTTAATTTTAGCTAGTGGTTTTCATCAAGTATGGTGAATGAAATTCTAACTGAATTTGGCATAGTTATCCTGGAAATGTTTAAAATCTAAAATTTCAGAAGGTTAGGTTTTTTCTTTTTATTATGGGACAAAAAAATTAGGGTGAAGACTTTTAAATTCAAATACTTTGAATTTTAGAGACGTTATTTGAAAAGTATTACTGCTACTTTTTTTGAAATTTGGAAAACTTTGGGCGTTGAAAGTACTTCTTGATAAAAAAATAACCTTGCAACATTAGTTTTACTTTCACACTTTGTGTGTAGTTTGAAATATACCCATCTTTGTTGTGATAGTTATCCCTCTTATGAAGAGTATTATAGTCATACTCCGGTTTATGAATAGATTACACGTCAAAGGTGGTATGACATTTCTTAGATACTTAAGTGCATTTTCCTTTCAAATCAATGTATGTATAATGGTTATAGTCCTAGGTCAGCCCACAGAACCTCTTGTAACTTACATATAGGAGAAGTAACAGTATCCTTGAACGTGGTGTTTCTTTCAGAAACAGTTCAGAATCTGGCAGATTCTCTTCCAGAATCTGAATTATAACCCAAGCCCTGTGTCAAAACTCAGTTTCCTTATTTGTAATACTTCTATATCATTGGTAGGGGTAGTTTTGATAGCTTAGGGAAATTTAGAGTGTTTTTGGGTGACGGCATATTGTTTACAAACTAACTTCAAATTGGGGAAATGTTTAATACAGTCTTAAGTATGTCCAATATTGCAATGTCCTTCTATTTGACAGCCTGTACTTGTGTAATATGATCTAACATCTGATTTTAAAAATAGTAACAGAAGCTGTGGGACAATTAATGGTAGTGCCAATCTAAGAACCTCCATTCTCTGTAGAATAATGTGATATTTAGCATAGAAGATCTGAAGAAAAGCAGGGCTGATGATTTTAGAGGGAGTGTTGTCAGTGGTGCAGTAGTATGGCTTATAATTGCATTGTGATTCTCCATTTTACTCTGTAGGTTTTAATAATGGACTCTCTAGAACCTTGTAAAGGGTAAAAAGTACTCATCTCTATTCAAACTGATGACAACCTTTTATAAGTACTACAGCTCTGAAACGCTGAAAATTGCCTTTTATCCTTTTCCCAAAAGATAACCCTTTTTAAAATTAGTTCTTTATCATTTCATTTGTTCCCTGCTACTTATTTTCCAGGCTCATCATTAGAAAATTATGTTGTTTGTTTTAATTATTTTATTGAGGTTATATTGGCTTATAATATTGTGTACATTTCAGATGTATGTTATTATATTTCAGCTTCTTTATAGACTACATCATGTTCACCACCAATAGGCTAGTTTTTATCCGTCACCATACATATGTGCCTGTTTACCCCTTTCGCCCTCCCCCCACCCCCCTCTCTGGTAACCACCAATCTTCTCCTTAGCAATATGTTTGTTTGTTTATCTTCTACATTTGAGTGAAATCATACAGTATTTGTCTTCCTCTAACTTATTTTGCTTAGCATAATACCCTCATGGTCCATCCATGTTGTTGCAAATGGCAAGATTTTGTGCTTTTTTTTTTTATGGCTGAGTAGTATTCCATTGTGTGTGTGTGTATATATACCACATCTTCTTTATCCATTCGTCCATTGATGGGCATTTGGGTTGCTTCCAAGTCTTGGCTATTATGAATAATGCTGTGATGAACATAGGGGTGCATATGTCTTTTTGAATTAGTGATTTCATGTTCTTTGGATAAATACCCTGTAGTGGAATAGCTGGATCATATGGTATTTCTATTTTTAATTTTTTGTGAAATCTCCACACTGTTTTCCATAGTGGCTACACCAGTTTGCATTCCCACCAGCAGTGTATGAGGGTTCCCTTTTCTCCATATCTTCTCCAACACTTGTTATTTCTTGTCTTGTTAATTATAGCCATTCTCACGGGTGTGAGGTGATATCTCATCGTAGTTTTGATTTGCATTTCCCTGATAATTAGTGATGTTGAACATCTTTTCATGTGCCTGTTGGCCATCTGTATATTTTCTTTAGAAAAATGTCTAGAACGTTGTTTTGAACTAAGATACCATTGTGATCTCGGTACATGAGTAGGAAGTGATCCATCAGTGTCTCAGTTTTGGTAAAATTGACATTTTCCTTTTCTAGAAACATCTTTGTTCTAATAACAACTGCTTTGTTATCACAATCTCTGAAAGACATTTATTTTTTATACAGAAAGGGCTACTGTAGTTTTGCTACCAAGTTTTGCTACCATTTATACAAATGTTAGTGTCTTAGGAGATGTTTAAGGAAAAGGATATACTGAGAAATATTATTTAGGTAGAAAAGGCCATTTGGGAGTTAAAACCAGTCCTACCTGATGTGAAGACAGAGCACCATGAACAGAATCTTGGCTATATTGAAGAAAGATGAAAATGGACTTTTTTATTGAGTGCCTAGAAGGAATGTGTTACCAGCTATGCTAGGCACCAGGGATATATTTTGTTGAGGAAAGTTGGTCATAGTCATTATAACTTAGCATTCCCATAACTCTTCAGTCAGCTCTCTATTGCCAAAGCCCAAGACTTAAAATTGTTAGATACTGATCAGTGTATGGGAATTCTCTCCAAACTGAATTTGGAGTTGATAATGTACATGAAAATTGAAATGGCATATTGATAAGCTGAGAAGAAGAAAAGAAAACTATGGACAAAGTTCCACGAACAAGTCACAGGACATGAGAATGAATTCTTTGAAAAGAGTCATTAATTTGATGATTGCAGTAATTCTTGATATTTGAGAGAATCATTTTAATAGTGTAATAGAGATTACAGGGAATTGTGGATTCAGTGGTGACAGAAAGGAAGCTGATACTTCATTTAAGGAAAATGGCAGTGAAAAGGAGGTAGTACCATTAAGTAGAAGGAACTGTAGAATCAAAAGAAGGGTGGTTTTTAGTTTGTTTTACAGATAATGCACAGGTTGCTACCTGTGCATTTGAAGGTTAAAGGGCAGTTGTCAGTTATGGAGTTGCAGGCTGTTGATGTTGTCTTTCATAGCCCTGGCAGATATTGGGGGCATCTTTGTGTTTGTTTGATTTGTGTTCATTAAATATTAAGTTTAGTAATCATCTGTGTATTTGTGACAGTCTATATTCTAGTTTGTCTTTTACCTTACTCATGATTTTTAGCATAAATTTAAATATATGGGAGTTTACATTTTAAAAAATGTGAAATGTGTGTGAGTTAGGAGTGGTTTGAGGTTGGAGGCCTTTCCAAATTGTAAAATCTTTAATCTGCATATTTAAAAATGTGCATCTGTATAGTAGGCTAAGTTTACATTTGTAGGTAGATGTAATTTCAATATATTTACTGAATTTAGCATACCTAGTTAAGTTGTTTCTGTCTTTAGGAGACTACTTGAGATGGATAGTCTTGTATCTCTGCTTTTTTGGAAAATCTTTTTTTTAGAGATTTTTATATGGCTTTCATTCCTGTTCACTTATTATAACTGGATAGTTTGCAACCTTAAACTTGAGTTAATTAATCTTTAGTGTCAGGAGCGATCACATGACTGTTCATTGCTGTTCTAAACAGTTTGATCTAATCAGTAAGCCAACCTCTGTACCTGCAGTATTTCTTATGTTTTGACTAACCTATATTTTAACTACTTTTGAGATTAGTGTATTTTAATATTTTCCTACATTTGCTAGGATTTTTGAGGGTGGGGTAGGCAGGGTGGAGTAATTTCAAAACTTGAAATGGATACCATGGGAAAGGGACAGTCTATTGATTTGGAGAATTGAGTCACAGCAATTAGGAAGTTTCCCTTACCACAGCAAGTTTTATTCATCCTATTTCGAGATTTATTTAGCTTACCTATGTGGGTTTTCCAGCTTTCTCTTTCTAATGAATTGGATATTATAAAGCATGGATTTGGTTCCGAATTTTTAAATATTTAGTCCAGTGAAATTTATGTGAGTAATTAACTTATCTGAATTGAAGTACATGAACTATGCAGAAAAAACGAAGGAAATAATTTATATACATAGTTTTGTTTACCAAACTTACTTGATCATAAAACACCTGAGGTACTCATCCATGTCTCTCTCCTGGGGATTATGATACAGTAGGTCTAGGTATGAGACCTGGGAACCTCATTTGTTGTTTTTTTTTTCTTTTTGCTGAGAAAAATTTGCCCTGAGCTAACATCTGTGCCACTCTTCCTCCACTTTATATGTGAGTTGCCACCACAACGTGGCTGATGAGTGGTGTAGGTCCATGCCCAGGATCCAAACCTCCCGCACCCGGGCTGCCAAAGCAGAGTGTGCTGAACTTAACCAGTAAGCCACGGGGCTGGCCCCGGGAACCCCATATTTTTGATAAGCTCTCTGGGTGATGATTATCATTGGGCAAGTTTGAGAAGTATTGATTTAAATAGCATAGTACTCACTGTTCCACTTCATATGTTTTTTGATCTGGTGATATAACATTGAACAAAACAGACAGAAATTATTGCCCTCTTGAAGCTTATTTTCTGACTGAGAGAGAGACAATAAACTGAAAGTAAAGCAAGCATATGGCCCAGAATAATGTGAGCCTGGAGAAAGAATCTGTTATGCCTTTGGTTGGTTATCGTTGCTAAAGCATGCCTCTCAGTGTGCGCATCTGGGCCTGCTGAGTGGGATTCTAGTAGTTTCAGGTACATATTTTTAGTATAATGAGGCCGGTAATATCTATTGTTTAGTGGAAAAAAACTTGTGTTAGATTTATTCAAATATTCTTCCTAAAGCATTTTCCAGGGGGAGTTTTGAGTTAAAGTGATGGTTGTGGTTCCCCTCTGTTTTTAAATATTTCACTCGCTAGTTTTGTTATTTTTCAGACATTTAGAAACAAATTGATTTCCAGGGAATAGACCATAAGAATACTTTTTGGCCCAAGTGTGAAGTTCCTTTTGGTTTAATTAGTTTTGTTAAAGCTTTTAGTAGAATTTTCTTTTGCTAAGTAGTGGAAACCAGTATTCTCATGATTTAAAAAGTAAATGAAAAGAAAAATCTGATGGGCAATGCACAAAATACTTTTCATTTGTTCTCAGAAACATATACCTTCATTTTGATCACTTTTTAAATTTAATTTAATATTTTGGATACCTGTGTGTTTATGCTTACAAATTAAAGATAGCTTTCTTTTTGGCTTAAGTAAAATCTTGAAGAATTGGTTTAGATTTAGATTTCCTGGCTTGATTTTTGGAAGCTGATCTTCTAGGATTAAGATTGCCAGAAGAAGAAATTATTACTGTTATAGCAGAGTCCTTCACTTTTAACAGCTTACTGCTTACTAGAGCCATTTGAAGGCTCATCATTAGTGAGAGGAAGCATCTCCTTTTTCTTTAAGACAGAATGTAGTTTATCTCAGCCCATGAGATGTTTTCCACTTGGTCTCCTTCCTGGTGCTGCTGAGAGCATGGGAGATGGACGTAGGCCCTCACCCCTGTGGCTACAGCTCCATCTGGCAGCATTAAAATGGCTGCTGAGACCGAAAGCCCCTGAAAAGAACATGTCTGTTACTTTGTGGTGGTAGCACCTGGTGAGTAGCAGACCCTTTTTTCAAACCCAGTTAAATTTATTTAACTTGTGAAAGGCTAATGAAATTGAGTTGATAGTAAAGATTAAAATCTCACTATTGGGCTGTTTTGAATGGTTATTTACTGTATGAACACTTTTCTGAAACAATGACCTTTATATTTAAATTGAATTTTTCTTTCATATATCTGAAGCATTGGAATAGTTGGACCCAAGCCAGTCCTCTCTCTTGTTTCTGGCACTGTAGTTGTAGATGTAAGTGGGAGAAAAACAGTTTGTTGGAAATATGGCACTTTTGAATGTTGTCTGTCTTTTTCTCCTGCCAGGGAGGACATGTATGCCCAGGACTCTATAGAGTTACTGACAACATCTGGCATCCAGTTTAAAAAGCATGAAGAGGAAGGAATTGAGACCCAGTACTTTGCAGAACTTCTTATGACATCGGGAGTGGTCCTCTGTGAAGGAGTCAAATGGTTATCATTTCATAGGTAATAAGATTGCGTTGAAAATGGCATTTGTGTTACCATTTCCCAGTTGCCTCACACTTGGCTTGGGTCACTGATTCAGCAATTTCAGGCTTAGTTCTACAAAGAATCTGCTGCCATATAGCAGTCTTCTAACTCTTAAGAGGCTAATGTTGGTCTACTTAAGGTTAATTTAATAATATGGGATCCTTTTTAGCCTATGAGAGAGACAGTACTGCATAGTGGAAAAAGTACAGGCTGGAAAAATAGATCTTGGTTTAAATCCAGCAATGCCATTTGGAATCTGTGCTACTTAGGGTTATTTAACATTCCTAAGCCTTAGAAGGAAACCATTCATTCATTAAAAAAATAAAGTAAGTAAAGTATTTATTACCTACTATATGCCAAGCACTGTGATAAGATTCTAGTAATTAAGCCATGAACACAACAGACTAAAATCCTTGTCCTCATGGAGTTTACATTCTGGTGGGAGTAGGCAGACAATTTTTTTAAATGATGAAATTTATATTGTGGTTTATTAGATGGTGATAAGTGCTATGGAGAAAAAAACAGCAACGAGAATGCTAGGAGTGGGTGTGGTAGATTTTAATTATCAGTAATAATATATTTAAAGCATCTGGTAAAGTGCTAGGAGTCAGAATCCACTCGATGGCAAAGTACTTCACACAGTAAATTCTCAGTAAGTGGTAGTTTTTAATTCTTTGTTATTATAAAATAAAACTAGATTGTTGAAGAGAATTTCTAGAAAGGAAATTAGTCCATTTTGTAAAAGTAGACTTCCAAGTAAAAGTGTTTTCCTAGCTAGGTAAGCTAAAACTGGCAGGCCAGGGACTAAAAGTGGCCTTGGTAATGATTTTATTTGGCCTTTTGTTATGTTTTTAAAAAGCATTGTATTGTGCAGGTAATAATGTTCATCCACTTCACACATTTTTTTAAAAAATAAGTGTCTCCTGCATGCTTTAGACTTTCCAGCTCTGGCCTGTGGAATGATTATAGTGAGGGACTGTTCATATTGTAAGCTTTGGTGCAGTACTGAGCAGCAGTTTTTGAGTTGAAAGTATTGAACATAACTACATACAGTCCTCACCTTAACAATGGTTTGACTTAACGATTTTTCAACTTTACAGTGATGTGAAAGCTATACGCATTCGGTAGAAACCGTACATCGAATTTTGAATTTTGATCTTTTCTGGGGTTAGCGATATGTGGTACAGTACTCTCTTATGATGCTAGGCAGCGGCAGCTGCCACAGCTCCCAGTCGGCCATGCGATCACGAGGGTACTGATACACTTAGATCCGTTCTGTACTCATACAACCATTCTGTTTTTCACTTTCAGTACAGTATTCAATAAATTACATGAGATAGTCAACACTGTATTATAAAACAGGCTTTGTGTTAGATGATTTTGCCCATCTGCAGAGTAATTAAGTGTTCTGAGCACGTTTAAGATAGTTTAGGCTAAGCTATGATGTTCGGTAGCTTAGGTGTATTAAATGCATTTTCAGCTTACCATACTTTCAGCTTATGATGGGTTTATCAAGAGGTAACCCCATTGTAAGTCCAGGAAGATCTGAAATTCTCACCTGGCATCTTTTCTCTCTGTTTTCCTTCACTTGAGCCTGTACGTCAGGAGACAAGACTTGAGTCTCTGTTAATTTGAGGAACATTTTTTCTGTTCTTTTTTTTTTACTTTCCTGGTCAGGAAGATACAAAAGAACTGGAAAGTATTTTTCTATCCTTTTACTATGTTTGACATAGTAAAATACTCTGAGCAAATACTATGTGCTAGGCACTGGGGATACTAAGATGAACAAAAACAGAAAGTTTATGTCTTATTTAGAGTCTAGGTTAGACTGATACATTTGAATATTTGTCAAGAAATGTTAAGATTTTATTCTACTAAACGTCATTAAATATTTTCTTCATGTTCTAATCTATTTCTAATAGATAAGAACTAGTTTAAGAAATTGATAATCCTGAACTCTATAATCTTACTTGACCAGTAGTAAGCAAATGCTGTATTGACTTATATTTTAGGTAGACAGCAAAAGTTACTTCTTTGCCAACTACGAGAAATTTAAAGGTCTCTGCTGTTTATTGCTTATACCTTGATATTCCTTAATGGTCTTCAATGGTAAAGCTTTTTTTTTCTTTTTAAAATTAGAAGTGAAATTCTGAACATTAAGTAGAAATTTTGTATTTCCCCCAAAAGATAATGTTAATAGCATCTCTTATCTAATATTTATTGAGTTCCAACTATGTATGTGCGGTAAGGATTTTTTAAAAGATATTTTTAAAATATATCTGCCCTTCAGACTAGTGGAGAAAACTGCATGAACTTTATAAAGTGTAGTACAAGAAAACAACGTGTATAAGAATTCTGTGAGAGCCGGGCTCTTGAAGGAAAGGTAGACAGGGAAAAGAGTGTGTAATTGTGGCACGGGAGTGTAGCGAGAGAGAAACCTGTGGAAATCCAAACAGTAGAGATAGCAGATCTTGATTCAAGTTTGGGAGTCGGTATTTTATTCTCTAGATAGTAGTTCTCAGCCTTTACTGCCTTCTTTCACGTGCAACATTCCCATTAGTATCTCTTGCGGAGCCATAATGAGATAGGAAGAGAATTGTAATGGAAGAGAGTATTATTAATAAAGTTACTTAGTAGAAGTGAAAATACTTTGTTAGGGAATTGCTCTTTGGATCTTTTAACTATATGACCTCTTTATGTAAAAGAAGGGAAGGTTTGCATTATTTTTGCCAATTCTCCTGCTGCCTTTTGACATTTTGGGCCAAGTTTCTATCCATCTTTATTTCTCCATTTTCGTAGTCCTTAAATTTTTTTTTGAGACATCTACTATGGGCAGTTTAATACTCTTTTGTTGAAGAGTTCTCTATTCAAAGATCAGCAAAATAGTAGTTTAGTGACTGCAGGCTTGGGATGTAGTATAGATCTGTATATTGATATCTCTGAATGATAAAGTGACAGTTCTTAGCACTGGGGTAAGATGATGGCATTTTCCCATTATCATTGTAAAGGTGTTTATTTTCTCTGTTCTTGTGTGCACTTTTTTTTTGGTTGATTCCCTTTTTGCCTATAATGTGACTCAATATTTGTATGAGAAAAAATTTATTTTTTTGATCTCTATGGTATTTATGTGTCCCTCTTCTGTATTCTTTTAACCCTTTTGTAGTGGTTATGACTTTGGCTATTTAATCAAAATCCTGACCAACTCTAACTTGCCTGAAGAAGAACTTGACTTCTTTGAGATCCTTCGACTGTTTTTTCCTGTCATTTATGATGTGAAGTACCTCATGAAGAGCTGCAAAAATCTCAAAGTAAGGCTTCTAGTGGCTTTATCTGTAATCAGCACACTATTCACACTGACTGACCTATAAGATCTGAGGCTAAGATGTTGTTTTAAACCATATTTTTAAGTATTAATATTAAATGCATTTACATTATCTGGTGATTTGATTCTTTTTCTTGCATAAATAATTTATAGGAAATCCTTTTTCAAAGCTTCAGTATATATTGGCAGAATAAGTTTTCAACAAAATTTAAACCAAGGATCAGATTTCTATCATTGTCAGATTGAAAATCATAAACCTGAGCACAGAAATGTGAGGACTAATGAGGCTCATGCACAGAAGTTGAGGTTCTCACTGTCTCCCAACATGCACGTAACCTGTCCATGCGAGGTAAACTCGGAGGTGGCCGGCAGTGTGCCGATGAGTGTGCAGCAGTGTGCAGATGCAGTCAGTAGTGTGGCAAAAAGAAGCTTTCTTTTCAGCTTATCTTGGCTGGAGATTATTTGGTTGGTTCTAGTCAGAGGATAATGTTCCTAGGATTACATAGCTAAAAATTTTTTTTTCCTGGCCCAAAGATGTCAGCTTGTTAGTAGTAGGTGGACAGTAGCTTACATTCTGACACTGCTGAATGTGTGTGTAATAGTTTGTTACTTCTCAACGTTGATTCTTCCAAAAGAAAAATTTCTTTAATAAGGAAAAGTGCTCCTTCAGCTTGAGAACAGATTCCCCTACAGTGGTGCAGACTCCTAAGGAATAGAGTGGTTTTATTTTTTTTAGGTGTGTTTTATTTAAGAGGTAACAAAAAAAAACATTTTGATCAAGTGGTTGTTTCATAGAACCTACATAAGAGTTGATCAAGTTTTCTCACCAGGCTTTTAGAAGTGCAGGTAAAGTTGTACATTGAGGAGATGGTAAAAACTGTAAGAGCTTTACTTTTAAGCAGAAAGAAAAAATTTAGGAATTCAGCAAGGAAACTTTGCTTTTGACAAATGAACTGAAATCATAAAAGAAGCAGTCTTTTGGCCAACATTTGCTTGCCTCATTACAGAATACGGCATATTACCAGGGAAATTTTTAAGAAAGAGTATTTGATGTTTGTAGCACCTAAGAGCAACAGAATTCTGTGCAATTTGAAGAGACTTGGACCTGTGACTCAAGTGGAACTTGCAGTAGAATATTTTTACTTCTCTAGAAACTCAGCCCGCCCCCTGAAAAGTATTGCATGCTGAGAATCCAAGGCCTAAATGTTTTAATCTGGCTTTGGAAATGCTTTGTAAAATTTGACCTGTCTGTACAATGACAGTTTTCGGGAACAGAGAACCAAATTATTGCTCATTATGTGTATGTTATTGGAAAATTTCTAAGTACATCAGATATTCTGAATATGCCCCGAGAGAGCTGCTGTGTTAAAATTTAAGTTAATGACAAAGGTGCTTTTTGACCTATAGTCAACCGTAGTGAACGGCCCTATTCTGTTGCTCTCCTAAGCAGCTGCTGATACCTAATCCTCATGTTATTTTTAGCACAGAAGCAACTGCTTTACAAAGCCCTGTTTCAAGCTGTGACGTAGAGAAGGGCTAGTTTGGTTGTAGAGGCCTTAACAATTTAGAGAGGAATTTCTTTGTGTTTGTTTTGTTGTTGATCCTGATGTTCTTCTTTACTTTCTCCCCATCATTCCCTCCTCTCTCCCCCATTCTCCTTCCATCCCTCTCTCCCTTCTTCTCTTTCTCTTCCTTCCTTTCACTCACATTATCTTTCTTTTTTAATCCTAGCAATATTAACATAGCAATATTAACATAGGCAGATTTTTAGCAGACCCTTCTAAGGAGTTGTATTCTTATAAGAACACTTTTTTTTCTTTCTAACTAATAAAACCATAGTTAAGCACTTAGTGAATTCTTAGGGATTTGATTAGTCATAATAGCTTTGTTTTGTACAAATTATTTAGATGAAACTATTTACAGATGGATTGGTGGGAAGCTTAAGAAAATTTTAAAGTAACTGCCTACAGTCAGTTTTATAATAATTGATTGATGGATGGATTGACTTGAATGTACTCAGTAAATGTTACCCTCTGTAGCTGTTACCTTGTATATGATCTGCTTCCCCTATATCTTTAGGAAAGTTATTTGACTGTCACATGCCCTAAAGCATATGATGAAGATAGATTTTCCCAATTAGGATCTCATTTTCTATTAAATTATAAACTCCTCCCACATTCAACAAATACATTAGTAATTCACATTCTCTGTTCTTTTCCAGTCTTCATATGGTCCATCTTTACATACTAAAATATTTTGGTCAGTGTCTAAGTTATGTAATTTGTGAATTCAGGCATTGCAATGTTGCTCTATTTTGACAGGCAGTTTTTGTTTCTTCTAGGGTGGTTTACAGGAAGTTGCTGAACAGTTAGAGCTGGAACGGATAGGACCACAACATCAGGCAGGATCTGATTCATTGCTCACAGGAATGGCCTTTTTCAAAATGAGAGAAGTATGAAGACATCAGTGCCTTTTTATCAGTTGGTTGTTAGATTGAGAACATTAAAAATCTTACGGCAAAAGTTTTGGGGCAATAAGAACTTAATAAATGAAGATATAATTAGAGATACCATATAAGTCATGTCTACACACTTGAATATTCAAAAATAAGTCATTTTGAAATGTAGTTCAGAAGGAAATGAAAATATAAGTTGTTCGTAGACTGAAAAATTAAAAAATTTAAACTATCATCATGTAGGTCCAGCCACATTATTTCTTAGACATCATGTAGGTCCAGCCGTTATTATTTCTTAGACATCATGTAGGTGCAGCCATATTATTTCTTAGGTGAGATAACTGAGGCCAGAGGCTAGTAACTTTTATCCAAGGTCACACACTAGTGGGAGAACTCCAGAGTTCTTTCTATAGACCACATCAGTGCTGCTTCTACCAACTTAAGGAATCCATATGCTCAGTTCCCCCGGCATTGTCTTCTCTCAGGCATTAAATTGCTGGTAACAATAATATTTGCTTATGCCATTCTTCAATACTTTGAGGATTTATAGAGTAGGACTCGTGCTTATTAGTAAATTGAGTCTTACACAGAGTCTTACACAGGGTTAAATAAATCTGCAGTAGTAGTAGAATCAAAAATCATATTGGGCAGACCCTCCTTAAGTGGCAAAAAGCAGAGATAAATTCCTCAAATATAAAGAAGTTAGGTATGGAAGGATGAAATTTAATGAATCCAAGTCTACTCTTAGGTTATGTAATTAGGTGATATGCACAGGTATACCTCGCTGTAGGTAAATGCAATGAAAAGAAGGTTGTGCAAAAACAAAATAGAATGGACTTTTCTGCTTAGAAAAAAAGTTTTCCTTTTTGCAAAATATTTACCATAGATTCCTTTTGAGTTATATCCTCTTAGACATTAAAGAATTGAATGAGAAGTCTTCTGGGAATTGAAAGTTTTTTGTAGAAATGTATTACTAATAGAAAGTGTAATAGCTGTTTTGCCCAGTGATATTGATTCAGAAGTGATTTGACTGTCTATTCTTGACAAGTAAACATTTTGTTTTGTACTTCTTCCCAGTGCTACATTAGAGAATTAAAACAACCTTTTGGATTTTCAGCTTTGCATTTTTTAAATGCTTTAATGGTTCAATTAATGGTGGATTCTCTGCTAATTTATATTTATCTTTTCTTCTTTAAGGATAGTAACTTATGTGAATGTTCAGATTTATTTTACTGTCCAGAATATGTTTAGGGTTTGATTGTTTTTAGCCAACTCAGCCTTCTACATAGACTCAAGGCTTCTGATAAAACTAAACTTTTCTTCCCCGCATCATTGGCTATTTTCATTCATTCTTACTGTTGAATATTGTTAAATTAATGGAATAAAAATGTCTGCCATTTTTCCATGATTACAAATTCTCATAAAAATGGTCTAAATGTTAATAAGAAAGACGTGTTTAAACATTTTTTTGTAGTCTTTTTCTTTGGTTTCTTTTGAGCTCTGTATTCCTTGAGAACATCAGTCTTATTCATTGAATTTAAATGTGTGGCCTCAAAGGAGCACCATAGAAAAGAGCTGTCATTATAGTTAATGAACAGTCAGTACTTACATTGCTGAAATATAAATTACCAGTGGTACCTTTTGGTTAAAATTATCTTTTTTTTTTTTTTTTTTCCAAAATTCCTTTTTAGATGTTCTTTGAAGATCATATTGATGATGCCAAATATTGTGGTCATTTGTATGGCCTTGGTTCTGGTTCATCCTATGTACAGAATGGCACAGGGAATGCATATGAAGAGGAAGCCAACAAGCAGTCATGACATGAAATAGTCCTTTTATTTTTATTTTATTTGAGCTACACACATACTTGTATATAGGTTTTATCTCTGGTTGAATCCCTTGAATAATAGACAGTACTTTTTTTTTTCTTTCATAGACCATTTTATTTTCCGGCTTTGAGTATTAAGTATGACCATTCCTATCTCACATCTTAATAAATAGAAAAGCATTCAGGTTAAATTTGGCCTTAATATACTTGTTAGCAGGCATGTGTGACAGAGTTGGGAAAGCTACATCATATTGCATATTTTGATAAACTTCACATCCTTGAGCTTGGTTTGTTTTTTCCTTTTCTAAATTAACTAGCACTGACTATAATTTATTTCCCTGTTTCATGTCTCCCTATCATTCTGCAGGAGTTTTAGCTATTTGAGATTGTGGACCATCAATTTTGCACTTTAGAGAGTGATTCTGACTCAGATCCTCTGTTTTATCAGAAATGTTGGTTTTTCATGCTCTTAGCTGGAAAAATGACCATCTGCCAACTTTATACAGTATTGACTTGTTTTTGACCCACAGAAATATAGCACATGCATTGTGCAAACGGTTGATTCAGCAAGACTGCAAAAAAAAAAGACAAAAAAACTACTGAGGAGCTTAGTAACTGCTGATTCTGTACGTAGTGTTTTAATCTTCCAAGCACATCTAGTGTCTATTGGTTTCTAATTGGCATGTGTAGGCTGCTCTGTGACTGAAGAATTTTTCAAACCAGCTTTACACCCTTCAGGAAAAATCCCTTGTGATTGGATGTTTAATGTCTGCCAGGAAACTGGTATCCAAGATGTTGAAGCTGCAGTTCTTTTCTGATAGCCCACTTCCCTTGATCTGCTTCTTTTTATTCCATCACTGTTGACCCTTATTTTTCATTTTTTTTTAATTTTATAGCCATACTTACAATGCTCTTGATTTGTTGATTCCACAAATCAATTTCATTAAAGTCCAAAGATAGCAAGTCTTTAGGTATATTTTGTACCCAATTAAATTAGAGGACAAAAAATTGTTCTTTCACAGTTAGAAAGATAAATAGTGGAGAGATTTGGTGCAAAACAACAAAATACAAAACATATATAGCTATATATATATTAGCTATATATATAGCTAATAAAATTACCTGAGGAGTGTAATGCTTGTTTATTTTTTTGTGTATATCTTTGCAATCTATTTTATATATATTGACAGAAGAGACTGTGAAATATTTAGCCATGCAGAATATGTGACCAGACCAGAGCATGTGTAGGAAGACATTTTGGTAATCATTAACTCTACCCTGAATGATTGACTGCAAGTTATGATGTGTGTTATCTACACTTCAACCAGTAATATTAGCAAATATCTAAATGTTAGCCACATTGGTTTGTTTCCCTTGTACATTCTTTATTCATATTACAATGCTATAACTGGGTGGTCCTTTTTAAACAAAACATTATTTGCAAAACCGAGGGTATTATTTGTTTTTAAAGCTTTTGTAAATAAAGGCTTCAGAAATGTTTTCTTATACTTGTTGATGACTGGTAATTTTGTTTTAGAAATATTTACTTGGGGGATATTGGTTTTTTTCTTTAATTTGGGCAAATGAATAGAACTCAGTAACTTCATTAACTAACTAATGATTAGTGTCTTAATTGAAAAATCAATCTAAGCCCTCTGCATTTCAATAGTGTTGGCTTATTCTTTATGAATACCTGAACTAAATGTTAAGAACTGATTTCTCTCTCTCCTTTCCAGGAATGCATTTATTCCGAAAGACTTAATGCATTTGGTATAACTTACTGTGGCTTCTTTTTAAAGCTGACATAAAATAGCAAGTATTTTGATCTTCACCTCCTAAAAAAATAGAAATTATAAAGATTGCCTTTTGAATAGCCACGTAGTTGCTGAATTTCATAGTTTGTATCAATTTTGGCTTCTTCCTCTAAGAAGTAATATATTTTATAACTTCTATAAGAGGAACATTATGACCTTTACTGAATCTAGCTTTTGGATGTAAGATATTTGGCTGATAATTTTATAGTGTTCCTGAGCCATTAATTCTGGACTCACCATATTCTGTTAGAGCAAGGCTCAGCAAATGATGGCCTACAGGCCAAAAGCAGCCTGCTGCTGTATGGCCAGTGTGATGAGAATGGTTTCTACAGTTTTAAAATGATTGGGGGAAAAAAATCAAAAGAAGAATATTTCCTGACATGTGAAAATTATATGAAATTCAGATTTTAGTGTCCATAAATAAAGTTTTATTGGAATGCAGCCACAGTTATCATTTATGTACTGTCTATGGCTACTTTTGCACCACAGTGGGAAAGTTAAGTAGCTATGGCAGAAACTACCTGCACTCTCATCATCTCACACTTCTCCTCGGTGTGCTACAAAATCAGTGATGCGGTTATGACCTGACAGCATTTGTAGTGCCGTTCATCTCTCTGTACCAAACATTATTTTTTCTGTTACCAATTCATACCCATTTTGTCAAAAAAAGAAAAGTGTACTTTGAATGGTGTACTTTTAAGGCACACTGGAGTGTGGATTACCTTATCAAAATATGTGGTAAAATACTGTGTTTATTATGCAGTGACACTATAACTGCAAAAAAATACAATATATGTTGACATAACCAGACTAAGCACTCATCACAATATTCCCAAACTCATGCGAAAGCAACAGTCAGGAGAATTAGAAATCTTAAAATGGAATATCTCATCACAGCATAATTTCTTCACAAAAATCAAAAATGAAAATGAGGCTGCAACCAAAGTGTGTTTACAAGTGGCCCATTTGTTAGCCAAGCAAAGCCATTTACTGATGGTGAGTTTTATCACGCTTTTTTGTATGCGGTAGCCCAAAGAAATGTGTCCAGAGAAAATAAACTTAAGACTATTAGCCTTTTGATGAAAACAGTTGCTTGAAGAGGAAGGACACTGGGTACAACATCAACAGTTATAAAACAAGACATGATTTTGAGTATTTTTCTTTGGCTCTTAATGAGTCAGATGTTACCAGTACTGCCCAGCTGTTACTCTTTATTTGAGAAGTCAATGCTGAGTTTGAAATGACTGAAGAATTCGTTTCTATTAATAGTCTGTGTGGAGGAACTACAGGTGAGAATATTTTCAAAGAAGTTGAGAAACCACTAAGTCTACTGAAGCACAATCCACTAAGATGCGATACAACCAAAAATAAATGGTGGTAAAAATTTGCATGGAGCAGAAAAAGGTTTAGTTGGTCAAATTTTAAAACTTGTGAAAATGTGTTGTGATTTGGCAGGGACCCATTTCAGTCGTGTCATACAACTTTGTTTTTTTTCCCTAAACAGGAATTAACGTTCATTGTTAGCTGGTGTTACACCACTTCAAAAACCATATAGAAAGAGTAAAAAAAAGGATATTTGAGCTGTACGTACGTACACAGACTTCCCTTCACTTGATTCTTTATCAAGTGATAAAGACTTGATAAAGTCTTTTATCGACTTTATCGACTTTTAAACGACTGTTCTTCATAGTCGTTCTGGGGCTCATCCTCTACTTGCCTAAGTAGATTTTTAAAAGAACTTTAAAACATGTTTGCATGTTACACTAAGATTAGTATGTAATTAAGGTTGCATTTTTTTATATTCAACTTTCACCCAATAAATGTTTGATTAGGTCATTTAAGATGTTTTTAATACTAGGCTGTAGAGGGCTATACATACTGACAGAAAAAAACGTGGAATCTTAACTCTGACAAGAGCCTTACTTTCATAGCTGAATAAAAAACAACAGAAGAGGGGCCGGCCCAGTGGCATAGTGGTTAAGTTCGTGCGCTCCACTTCGGTGGTCCAGGGTTTGCCAGTTTGGATCCTGGGCGTGGACCTGCGCACCACTCATCAAGCCATGCTGAGGCGGCATCCAACATAGAGCAACCAGAAGGATGTACAACTATGACAGAAGTGTCTACTGGGGTTTTGGGGAGAAAAACACGAAAAAAGGAGGAAGACCGGCAACAGATGTTAGCTCAGGGCCCATCTTCCTCAAAAAAAAAAAAGCTGAGCTTTCTGTGGTATCAGTTCTTTAATTCAGCATCAACAGAGTTCTACTTTGGAGCATTATGTTTTTTCTCAATTTAATTAAGCACCTTTATCTGTCAAACAAGAACTATTAAATATTCATAAATTCAGGTCAGGATTGAGCTCCTTACACTGATAAATGTAAAATTTATCATGTAAATGTAAAATGTAAAAAAATTCCCGGGAAAATGCAATATAAATTTGTTTTCATAAATCATAAAATAGTACTGTCCTTTCTGAGCAACAAGCAGCTCCTATATGTAACATAAACCAGTGGTTTTAAGAAACCAGTTATCAAAAGGCCCCCTTTGGTTTAATTGGTGCTCAGAAATAAGTCAACTTAAAAGATGACTAATACATATTTTCCCTCCAACTGTAACAATACAGAAATACTGAATACTGGCTGTGAACAAGAACATCAAAGATCATCTTTGGGCATTGTCACCAGTTTTGTTTTTGCTGTCACTTTACTGCAGTGAGAAAGGGCTGCAAGTGATTTAAAGTTGTCTCTGTTGGCTTTGCCCAGACCGTCATATTTGAACGTTTTGTTGGTATAAGAATAGTTAAAGGGTGTCCGAGATTGAGCTCTTAGTAACCTAGACTGCATATGGTAGAACATCCTCTTTACTTACATCCTCTTGTCTGAGGCCTGCTGCTACACTGAACATGGTGCCGGGAGATACTTCATGTTCACAGTTTTTGATCCACAGAAGTTCCTTTGAAACAGGCCTACTTGAATTCATCCCTTCAGTGATGTCCACTTGATACAAATTGGGACAGCATTATAAAAGAAGAAATAAATCCATCATGGCAAAGAGAAAAGGAAAGTGCACAGTTTGGACCATTATAAAGTACAACACAATTTCCCGTTTTCTGTAACAAAATAAGATTCTTCAGTAGTAAATTCTAAGGGAAATCTAGTGGAGGAACAGATTGCTCACTTTTAAAATCAAGACTTCTCTACTGTTGTCATGTGTTTAATGCTTTTAGTAAGTGACATGATCAAATTGCTAAAATTTCAATAAAAATTAGAATGTGAATTTTTACCAAGACAAGGTTAAAAAAAATCCAGTGGTATCTTTGTAAAAGTAACAAAACACTTAGGGTGTATAACACGGTCTGCTTCCACACGTAAGAGGAAATATGGTCTAAATTGGCTAATATGTGGAAAAAGAGTGTAGGCTACTAAAGCATTGGGGAGTAAGCCAAGTAGTTTTTTACTTAGAACAGTTTTCTGCAGAAAGATCTTAGCTAGAGACATGTTATTTGTGAAAATCCATCGTCGAAATGTGTCACTTCAGACAAAATGTTAGCAGTAGATCAGAATTGGTAGTCTGGGCGTTGGTGGAATGGTTCTACTGGAAGATACTTTCATCGTGGTTTACAGCGTAAGTGGATTTGCATTTACCATTTATGAGGTTTGAAGACATCTGTGGGTTTTTTACATTCATAATGGTACCAGAACTATCACTTTTACAAGTAAATATTTGATACTATGATAAGCGTATACCAAAGTATACAGTATAACTTCATAATCAGCCCAGCAAGTTGACATGTATTTCAAAATAGAGAAAATTTGCTAGTTTAATAATAAGTTTTTCACAGGTTGTTTTCTTGAAGCATGAATCACATGATTATTAGCTTAATTTTTTTATGAACATGGTTTATAAATCCTTTGTATTTGATTTCCCAAGTGAAGATAGTTTTTTGTCAAACATATGCCGTATTTCTAATAGTTATCTGTTGATCACAGTGTACTTGAGTTTTACAGTCTAATTGTCCTCAGTCATTTAACTACTAGTGAGTAATTACTTCATCCTGTCATCCACATCTTCTCAAAGGAAAGACTTATCTTATGACCAGGTTGTAGACAGGAATTTTGCCTGTAGTAGCTCTGGTAGACTATCAGGAGAAGTCTCTCTTTAAAGCAATTTAGATTGTCAGTGCAAAGGCAATTTCATATAGACAGCTAATGAAGGTGATCAACCAGACTTTATTATGATATAACAACAAGAGAGAATGCGTGGATAAGCACTTCCTTGAATGTCTCATCATTATATTTAGATGCAATTTTTCTTTGATTTATCTTTGAAAAACACACCCTCTTTCACTGCACAATGGCAAAGAGTTAACTAATGTATATGAAGCATTTGTACAATATTTTTGAAAGAAAAATTTCTTAAATATTGATACCTGTATGGTAGAATCTCTAAAAACAGGAAAAATCAAAATTATCAGTTTAATTGACTATCAGGACAGTTAAGTATAAGTGTGTCTTCAAGTTTTGAGTTAAGCAATTAAATTTTTTAAAGTAAAATGTTTTAAATGTTTTTAAGGTACATTTTATAAATATGTACAAAATGTAGGTCTATTTCATGCTTTATTGACTCAGGTAAAATTTATACTGCATATCTAATGAGATATGCCATCATCGCCAAGAGTTATAACCCCCTAGAATTAAAAAAAAAACTAAACAAAAAACGCTTTAAAGATTATTCACTGTTTGCAAACAAAAAGGGAACCATTACAACTTAATGAAAAAAATTTTATTTTTAAAAATTTTTTCAAATCTGATTCTAATGTGTATTGACTTAACGTATTTCAGTAATTACATGGAAGACCTAAAGGGGGAAAAAATTAACAGTACTCTAGCAGGGTAAAGAATAAAAATCTCTCTTTTTTTCCCCCTAGCTTCTAGTTTGACATGAGGGAAGACCTAACAAAATCCCGTCTGTAAAAACAGCTATAGTACTGTGCTTTGAAAAAAATCTGGCTGCATATAATTCTTAATACATCACCTGATGCTGTTGCCCTTAAGACTTCTAGCAATAGCTATAGGTTCCAACCTGGCACTTCAGGTAATGAAAAATGATGACCAAAAAATGCTTTAAGTTAAGATAAAAGTAAAAATGTATCATATCTTCTGAGATTTCATGAAGCAGATTGTCAGATCAAAATGTTTAGCTTTAAAAAAAAATCTGAAAAAGACTACCATTTTATTGTTCAAATAATTGCACTCAAAAAGATCTAGAAAATGGACTGGGCTGACATTGGTTCTTCCATAAACTCATTTAATATAAAACTCTATATTTTCAGCAAGGATGAATAATTGCAAGGATCTTTTACTCCCTTATCCTCTGGTCTTCTAGTCTATCTTGTGTTACATTTTTGTCTAACTCAGATTCTGAAAAGTTTAATTCCATTTTCTCTTTGATTAAATACCAGTTTCTTAGCTGTGTAGATTTAAAAGGTAATCTGCATTAAATTCTCAAAATCAGTACCAAAAAAATGTATACAGCTTATTCTAATCGCTAACATTTACAAAACTTACACTCCATCAAATTAAAAAAGAATAAAATAAAACTTTTTTTTTAAGTAGTGCATACAAGGCACAAGAGCTTCTTAGTATATTTACTGAAGCTGAACGTTTTGGCATCAACAAACACACCACTTTAGTTTATCTTAAACTCAGTTTCCAAACAGCATGCCATTTAGTTCATGTTGAACTAAATTTCCAAAAGTAGATGATTTTTGTTTGATGATTTGCATAATTTATTCTTTATAGGTAGTTAAGGACCTATATAGTTTAACTGTCATACTTTCGATGAGAAGACAATATAGATGTCAATGGAGGATTAATCTATTGGCCCATCAGGAATTCTTAACAGAAATTCAATATTTTTGCTACATTCGATAAGAAAAATAACCTAAAAAGAGATTTTTAGAAGCCAAACCAGCAAAAGAATATCAAACCAATCTTCATAATTGTTTTATATATTTTCCCCCAATTTTCAGATGATCAGAAGAGATGAAAAATATATTTCTGCTGTAACAGAAATGTATTAGTTCTGACAAAAGTTTTCTAGCCAGTTGAGCTCGAGCCTCAATGATCATACTTCTTTTCCAGCAGGGAACAAAGGCTAGAATTAGACTGAAGTCTGGCAAAAAATGGATGGTGATCTTCCACTGTAGGCCACTTGAAATTTGTAATGAATTCATAGTTATCACAGTTCACTCAGTCTGAGGCTGGATTCACATCAGAGGGAATAAACAAGTCTCATTTGCTTCCTCTAACTTCTCATAGAATAAAGCTTCTTATTATAATGTGACTTGAAATCTTTTAAATCTCAATTATCTTAATAGTCTCAATTTTCTGAATTGGAAAATCAGATGATTAATGGGCTTTTTATGTGATAAATTGTGCTACCCAAATATTTCAGTGAAAACTGGCCCACAAACTTATTCCAAGTTTTTATGATAGAAGATATTTTTGCCCTTGATTCATAAAACATAACTTTTAATATTTAATAGGAATTTGTATTAGTTGAAACAATCTGTATCCTAGATTAAAAATGTATTATGTTTTAAGCAACAGCTTGGAAAGAACTAATCAATTCATTGTCTGTACATCCAGCCCAAGGGAAATGGAACAACTGGCCAGTGGTGCCTTCCTGTGGGAAGCCTCTTCCATCCATCTACAGTATTGATACCTTGAAATGAAACAGAAAACATGAAACTAGTGTGTAAACTATAAAAAAAAAAACAACAAAAAACTAAGCAACTCACTCATTGTTTGCTGCAGTAACATCGCTTGTTCAAAATTAAATGTTTTCGACACTAGAAGGCTAAGTAGATGAGTTCTTGAATACAAACCTCTACATCAATGCTCTCAAACTATAACATGCATCTGCAAGACCAGAGGATCTTGTTAAAATGCAGATTCTGATTCATAGGTCTAGGGCAAGGTCTAAAATTTTGCATTTCTGTTAAGCTCGCAGATGACGCCAGCGTGGCTGGTTTTGGGCCCCAATTTGAGTGGCAGGGTTCCATGTGATTCGTTCTGCATTTGTCTGAGGCCAGTAGCAGTTTAGGAGTGACAACTGAGTTGGAAGGGGGATTTAGGGAAATAATTTTGAAATTTCATGTGCATAGAAGCACAGCATTTTGATTTCTATTGTATAAGAGGGAAGGTTGGAAAGGCTAAATTTAATCTACACTGCGGCACTACTATGGGTTTAGGCACGTTATAACTATCTGGAAACTATACTGAACTAAGAAATATTTCATAAAAAAGCCACAAGTCAATTACTAATGAAGTTCCAAAAGAGAAGAGAATATGAAGATACATTTAGTAATAATAATTAAATTAGGCATATCAATATTAGACAATATTCAATATAAATGTGTATTGAATAGATTGCAAGTCAGAGATATAAAGCAGGAAAAACTATTTTAAAAACTTTTGACAACTATTGTGACTATCTACTAGCTACCTTAGAAAAATTCAGTTTTTTAAAGAAACATTTTACTGTCACTGGTTATGTCAATAGAATGAAAAACATTACATCAGAAAATCATCTTTTTAAGTCAATGCAGTTGATTCACGCTGCCATTTGTTTTTTATGACCACTAATGTCATATATTCAAATGTAACAAAATTAAGTTTCTATGAGATTTTTAACTTCAAAGATGTTATTTTATCACTTATTTACCAAATATTTATTTAGAACCTACTAAGTGTCTGGTACTGTGCAAAGTGTTGAGAATAATGATGAACCAACGCAACACCGGTCTTGTGTCAAAATACTGGGAAATCTACATGACTTATACATGATGTTACTATGTAAACTTGTACAATATTTAACACATATGACCTCATAAACTGTGGTAATTATAACTAATTCAAAATACCTGGAAAAAATCCTGTGAAACTTTATATGCTTTACAGAATTATGTTCTGTAAAATATTTTATTTGTGGTATTGTCTAGTGATTCATATTTGTATATTCATAGTTATGTTTTGAGAATTTGTTTCCAGAAATTTAACATTGTCTCTTTGCTATTTAACCAAATTAAGAAGGTTAAATTTTCACTCTCCTAATCATAGTTATGATCAGTGTGATCTACTATAGCATCATGTACAGTCATCCAAAACCAAAACATTAGTCAACTGGCAAATAGAATTACACAGCTTTTCCTCAAGACCAAACCAAAACCAAACAAATAAAAACCCAGATATCCATGAAGTACTTTGAAACAAATGATTTTGTTTTAGATGCTACTCGCTTGCTACTCTTAAATTTTAGGATTCTAGATTGCAGTTTTGTAAGTAGAGAGTTGTCTTGATAACTTTCATGTTCAACTCTTTATATTGTGTTTATTATAACACTACATACAGTTGTTTGCTTTGTTTAGATATTTATGGCTTTGTTCCAAAGAGGCTCTTTATTGTAGCTTTTGATTGACTGCAGGCTTATAAATAGATTATGTTTTAAAGAAATTGATTCGGAACTACAGGTTTAGAAAAATTATGGTTTAAAGAAAATGATTTGTAACATGTATTATTTTAAGGATGACACATGCTATGGGGTCCTACAGTAACCAAAAATAGGGATGATCTGTGCTAACAAGATATAATTATCTTGTACTTGGAGCCAGTGAGATTCTGCTAATGGAAGGTCAAGGATATGACCACTGTACATCCTGAAGGATAGAATAAAAATAAAAAAATTGCATGAGCCTATGAAATGACAGGATAATTGTTATGTAAAGTTCAATATTTTAGGATCAATCTTTGCCATGTAATGCATTACTATAAAAATGAATTTTATTCATCAACTTATTTCTGTAGCTTATCAAGTTAACCTAAATACTAGCTAATACTGAAGCTAGGTCCATGTCCAGAGGTCTCCAGCATAATTAATGCAATCCCAAAAGTCAGCTAAGGTATCTTCTAATTTGAGTCACTCAAAAATAAATAATAATGTTTATGGAAACTATTTGCCCTAAGAGAACTGGAAAACTGTTAAAAATATAAACACAATAAAGGAAAAACTTATCTTACTTTCATAAAGTATGAATTTACTTTGTTTGAAGAGCTAAGTCTCATTCTCCATGGTTAATGCAGGATTGCTCATACCTTCAAGAGAGAACATAAATTAGCATTTTTTATTGTTGCTTTTGAACAAATAGGCAGAGACTTGTTTACTCATCCAGTCTCCCCAGTATACTTCCAAAGGTGTCTTGTACGTAGCATGGGTGTTTATAAGTTGGTTTCATAGAAACACACACACACACACACACACACAATAGTGTTGGCCACAACCAGTGTCACAAAATGCCCTTTAAAAATAGAGATATACACCTGAGCAAGTAGGGCTTTGAACAAAAAAATGACAGATATGTCGGATCTGGCACTGCTCACATCACCTTAAATCATTGTTTCCTAATTCTTCATCTACCTACCTCATTCTAGTCAAACTAATCTTTGAGCCCTTTCTAATCTCATCCTTCTCAAGTTTCTCTTCCATTTTTTACATCATCCTTTAAACTTTAAGTAGTTTCTCAATTCATCTATCAAAGTAACATAAAAATTAATCTAACATGACAAATAATTAACAGCACATATAAACCAAGAAATCTCTTTTATGTTAATATAGAACTATAACATGAAACATGAATCCCTTCTGAAAGAAAGGGAGCTCTTTGTCTTTTCATCACCCAAAAATTGACCCCAAACTATGCATCACTTCTTTGCCTCTAAGGAAGCTGATGGATTCAAGGGGAAAACAGGTGTCATCAATTTTTGTTTATTAGGTAATGCCTAGGCCTTCCCACAGACTGGAAAATGGAATGGCAGGTTTGAAGGTGAAGAGAAACCAAATTATGAATATGCAAATGATGGGAATCTTCGGAGGGTAAATATATTCTTTAAGAACGAGACTCTAAAGAAAGCCTATATTTTAGAAGAACATGACTCATTATATATCAAATAAATGACCTTAGAATTTTTACTCAGGACTATCCATTTGTTTTTCACCATCACTAAATCTCAAAGACATTTCAAATAAATCAGTAAACGCTTTAAAGTGCAGTGAGCCAAAGTTAGGCAGCACTAGGATAAAGTTTAAAGAAAAGACTAGAAATGAAGGAGAAAGGTTTGAGGAATTAAATTAGTCAACCTGGAGATTTTCTGGCTAATAGTGCCTTAATCATAGGTGTATGGTTTGTAGTCATTTATAGGGACACCACACATATATACTCAGTCCTGCATGTATGATCACATTGTTTTGTTTTAATCCTTACCAACCCTGAGAAATAAGTAGTATTTTAAATATAAGGAAGCTAAGTCTAAAAGAGATTAGGTAACTTAATAAATATCACACACTGATTAGGTGTCCAAATTAGGATTTGAAATCAGGTCTCCCTGACTTCAGAGCCTTGTTTTTTCTTCGTCAATAAACTATATTGACTGAAGTAATCAAAAGATTAAAATCAAAAATAACAAGAGAAATCTGGGTGAGATATGAAGAAATAACAGGTAGGTAAGATATGGTAATTATGCAATCACTTTATTTCAGCATTTTGAAATTAGATAGAAATCTTAGAGTAAAAGAACTACATAATTTGAGGGGCCGGCCCCATGGCTTAGTGGTTAAGTGCGTGCCCCCCGCTACTGGCGGCCCGGGTTCGGATCCTGGGCGCGCACCGATGCACCGCTTCTCCAGCCATGCTGAGGTGGTGTCCCACATACAGCAACTAGAAGGATGTGCAGCTATGGCATACGACTATCTACTGGGGCTTTGGAGAAAAAAAAGGAGGAGGACTGGCAATAGATGTTAGCTCAGAGCCAGTCTTCCTCAGCAAAAAGAGGAGGATTAGCATTATGTTAGCTCAGGGCTGACCTTCCTCACACACACACAAAAAAAACTACATAATTTGAGATCCTTTTCTGCAGATATTTTCCAACCTTTTGTCTGAATTGATTGCAATTTTTCCATTTAAAAAATACATATTTTGAGTTTATTTCTATCGTTTTACCTAATATGCAATAATAATGATTTGGTTCTTTAAACTGGAAAAAAAAGCAATGTAGATCTATCTTTCACAAAATGATTTTCTACAGCTAACAGACATTAATCAAAGTACTTCACAAATAGAAGTTCCTGAAAATAATTCTAAATTTACACTGGGAGTCCGACACCAAAGCAACAAAAATAGGTAATATAATGGAATTTTTTTCACCACTTTCACCTTTTAAAAATAAAATATATCAAAATAGCCAAACAAGCACACCCTTACCAGTTTTATCTTTTCCTGGGTTTGTGCAGCTCTCTGTCCAAGATTGAGAATCAGTAAGAAGGTGGCTCTGGGACTCTCTCAAAGGCTTTGCAGGAAACTGATGGTTTTCAGGACTGAATAACAATAATTATCATCATAATCATCATAGTAACTCTTGATAGTATTGAGTGTTTCTCAAAGTATGGAACTGAAATCCCTTGTGGTGCAAGACAATTGTAGGAGTTACACAGGAGAATTTGGGGAATACGAGAACAAGGCATTAAATCATACTCAAAACGAGGAAAGTTTTCTCTCTCCAGTTCTCTTTTCATTCTGTCTTCTACACTAAGATGACAATCGCTGACTTTGGCAAATCTCCATTTTTAATACAGAGAATAGGACTCAGCTTCAGACTTTCGCAGGTAAGGGAATCTAGTTAGAACTTGGTATTTTATTATCAAATTCATTTTTTAAAGTTATATTCTATTTATGGTAAACTATACCAGTGTCTCATTTATGACAGTGATACAAAGTTTGGTTCAAAAATAAATTTAAGTGCCCATTTAAATAAATATATTAAAGAAAATTATTAACTTTGTAAGTGGTATGTGGATATGGAAAAAAATATATGAAGGTGATGGCAGAAAGACAAGTTTGAGAAAACGCGCTTAGTGTTTCTAAGGTGGCCCAACTGGTCTTGAACAAAGAATTCTCTATCTTCCTCTAGAAAACTGAAACAACAGATGTGAGCATTATCTTGCAGGAATGCTGAAAACATCTAACATTATCAGGTCTTACAAACCTGATGTTTAATTTGGGAAATGAATAGCCTTAAAAGAAGAATTTAAGCTTTAAAATTTAACTGGACATGCCACATATCAACATATTGGATAGTATGAAAAGATATACATAAATTAAAATAATATTTCACTTAGATAGAAAAAAATATTGGCATAGAAACTATTAGTGCAGTTTTAGAACACCCTGTAGTAGTAATTATACTAATGTTCAAGAGAAAGAAAAATCACTCAAAATTTTTCCAAGATTAATTTCACATATTTTAGTTGACTATAACTATTTTTTTTAAGAATACGCTTTTGCTCCTCAATAATTACCGCATATCTAAAATTTGAGAACATTTCAATTTTGTGCAACCCTTATTAAAATTTTGGAGGTAAATCTTAAAAAAAAAAAAAGTCTCCTATTCATATGAAAAATCTCTTTTATTCTAATTCTTATTATTCCTCAGGAAAGGGACCATATACCAGGTACAGCATACTACCTAGGTCCTGGTTTAGGGACTCCTTGCAGATTCATTACTGCTAACAGGACTCTAACCAGTGCAAAGATCCATTCATTCAACAACATTCACTAAGTACCTATTACATCAATGAATAAAGTCTCTGATCTCAAGGAAATTTCATTGTAACTGAGGAAGAATAATAATACAGAAACGGGGGCCGGCCCAGTGGTGCAAACGCTTAAGTGCGCGCGCTCCGCTGTGGCTGCCCGGGGTTCGCCGGTTCAGATCCCGGGAGCACACCAACGCACCGCTTGTTAAGCCATGCTGTGGTGGTGTCCCATATAAAGCAGAGGAAGATGGGCATGGATGTTAGCCCAGGGCAAGTCTTCCTCAGCAAAAAAGAGGAGGATTGGCATCGATGTTAGCTCAGGGCTGGTCTTCCCCACAAAAAAGAAAGAAAGAAAGAAATGAACAAATATATAATAAGTCAGGTGACAGTAAGAGCTATGACAATAGAAAAAGACAGTGCAAGGGAAATGGAGGAGCAGGTTACTATCTTACACAGGGTTTTCAAAGGTGGCCTCTACCGTGAAGTTGCACTTGAGCAGAAAGTGAATGAAGAGAAGGTATAAGACCACTGAGATACCTGGAGGAAGAACAGTGAGGAGAGGAATTGGCAAGTGCAAAGGCACTGAATAAGGGACATGCTTGGTATGTCTGAGGACCAGCAAGATCTGTATGTCAGGACTGTGAGTGATGGGAGGGTGGTAATGGATGACATCAGAGGTGACAGCGACCAGACGAGACAGGACAAGGTAAGGACATTCATTAGCTTTTATTCCGAGTAAGATGGGAAACCAATGGAGGGTTTTGAGCAGAAGAGTGACACAATCTCATTTATGTTTTAAAAGGATAACTCTGACTTCTCAATGGAGAACAGACTGGAGTAGGGCAAAAATAGATTCAGAAAGATCAGTAAGGAAGGTATTAAAATACTCCATGTGAGAAATGATGGCTTGGACCAGGAAAGCAGCCATGGAGGTGGTAAGAAAGTATGCAGATTATAGACATATTTTGAGGAGGCATCTGACAGGATTTGCAAAAGGAGTAAATACAAAGTCATTGAAAGAAAGGAATCTAGGATGACTCCAAAGTTTCTGGCCTGAGACCTGGGAGAATGGAGGTTACCTATACTGATATATGGAAGAATGGAGGAGAATCATGTTTAGGGGGGAGGAGAGGGTGTAGATGGCTGGGAAACAAGAGTTCTGCTTTGCAGCTGTTCAGCTGGAGATGACTTTTAGACACTTAGTAGGAATGTTGAGCACACCGTCAGATATAACACTCCAGAGTGAAGAGGAGAGAGCAAGAGTCATAGAAATTTTACATGGGCTAATCAGGGGAAATTATAGAATTCTGTAGAAGAGACTTTAGCTGTCAAAATCCAATCTCAACATTTAAAGGAAAGGGAAGAGAAACCTAGAGAGATTACTTGACCTCTTCAAGATCACCTAGCTGGGTAACTGCCAGAACTAGGATGTCTCCCAATGCCCATAGTACACCTGGTAGGAGAGTTACTCTCTCTAAAACCCAAATCGTCTTCAACTACAAAAACCACTTAACAAGGGTAAAAAACATTACTGAAGACTACTGTTAAATTATAAAAGCTTGAAAACATATTCTAAATAATATTAAAACTAGATTTTTTGCACCAAGGTATATGAAAAAAAAATTAACATGTAAGACTGGTGCCTTTGAATGTCCCTGTGAAACACATCAGAATGGCTTCCTCATTAACTGGTAGAGTCTGGTCTGTACACGGCTCATGCTAGGGATAGGGTGGCAAACAGGTTTCATCTTATGACAATTTAAAATGATTTTGGAATGGCTGCCAGGATCACTGCCTTGAGAAGGATTCTCGGGTCACACCAGGCTCCACAGGAGAAAGTACTGTGATCAATAAGAAATATGCACTAGACAGGAAGGGTGTAGAGAAAGGTGCTGTGTACATTCCAGCAACTAAGAGAATTTCTAAAATTTAACTAAGAATGACATTATGCTTATGCTTTTGTATTGGCTTTCATTTAAAAATTAGAGGATGGTCATATCCAAATAAATCTGTCTTAAAGATGTAAAAAATTAGTGTTTCAAACTTAAAAATTCATATATAGCATTTAAAAAGTTTAAGTAGTTTTGCCTTTGGCCAGTTGGTAGCACCGTCAGAATCAAATTTCAGGTCTTCCTCAAATTCTTGATCGACTGGAATCAAAATAGACTTAAAGCAGGGGCAAAGATCTCCGGACAATGAATTTCCAAGACCCTTTCCCTTCTCTCTCCACACAAGTGGCTCAGGTAATGCTTAGAGGTCTTTAAAGAGTATCAAGAATATGGTGCACATTGCTAATGGAACTGTCAAGCAGGTGTCTGGGATTCCATTTGATCTCCAAAGCCCTGATCCAGGAAAGTTCTTCTGGTCTCTTTATAACAGTTACCACAGAGAGGAAGGACCCAGAGTGTCAGAGGGAGAGTCTACCCTGTCTGCTTGCCTGGTCACTAGGGGAGCTAATCTGGACTTACACTTTTTTCTTTTAAGCACTACATTTTAAAATTCATAATATATTTCAGTCAAGCAAAATGTATAGAGAACTAACACCTGTCTACCCACCACCCAGATCATTAGCAGAATTTTACAAGTATAATTGAAGCTCCTATGTACTCCTCCCCAATTATACTTTCCTCCTTTCCTCATTCCAAGTAGAAATCACTGTACAAATTATCTTATGTTCTTAAATATTTTTCAAAGGAACATATAACCAAAGGACACAAGAGAATAAAATATATTATTTGAAAGTAAAATATAAAAAAAAATACGAGATTACTTTTTAGATGTTGAATTCAATCCTGCAGGAGTAGATGGTTGTTCTGGATCCTGGTTAACAAGGCAAGTTGGAAAGGAACAGCCATCACCTAGACTATAATTAGAATAAAAAGTTACAATTGAGCAGTAAAAAAGACAACAGAGTGAAACTCTGTCACAGTGCTGAGGTCTGTGAGCAGAAGATAGTTACATTATGGACAGAATATGTATATCAGACATCTGGCTTCAATACAGGATGTTTATACAGATGAGTCAACTTATTTCCACACTGATACAACAGTGAATCATGAAATAATACTTTAAAAAATAGGAGTTCCTATGCAAAATTATAGAGTTCTTTTGTTGGGTTACTTCCATTAGTTTAAAACGTGAAAATTTTCACAACAAAGTACCTTGAAAAAATGGGTAGCAACCAGTACCTCTTCTCATCACCAAAAACTTGTCGCATGTTTTTACCGAAACCCAAGCTGAAGCCATTCTTATCTGTTCCGTATCGAAATACTGGACTTCTAAATGCCTCTACAAAAGATGGCAGAGCAATCATGTGAGTAAAGAACATATCAATCTAGTAACCCCTATATTTAGAAATGATTGAATTAAATGAGGAAACTCTGAAAATCAGTGGCTAGCCTCCTGTGAGTACTTATGCACCTTTCCACAGCCCTGCAATATAGATTGCCTATTCTGTTTTAAAATAATCATAAGATATAATTATATCTATTTTAATTTTTAAGGAACCCTTTCATTATTACAGCAGCACACGTGCATTGTAGAATATTAGAAAATACAAATAAGCAAATAAATTAAAAGTTTACATCGCCTAGATCTTTATTAGATAGATGGATGACTGGATGGATATAGATATAGATAGATACAGATCTATATAGTTTTTTTTAACCAAAGTAAGACTGTATTTAAACATTCTACAACCTGCTTTTTTCAGTCCATAAACCACATTTTCCAATTTCATTAAAATTTTATCTCATCCAATCATAAATTTTTTCCAGCTGACCAAAAATGTACTTGACAGCTGTTTTGTACAAACCAGGATCCAACGCAGAACCATACATTGTATCTGGTTATGCCTACTCTGCATATGAATGTTGAGGTTCAGAGGTACTTGCCCAAGATGACACAAAAAGTAAATGACTTCGTTCAGTGGAACCTGTTCAGTTGAACCTTGTTCAGTTGAACCTGAACAAGGTCATCAGTACTCCTTCCATTATACTACATTTTATTCTTAAATAATGCTGGGATGCAAAATCTAAAATTTTATCTTTGGAATATGAACAAACACTGAAGTATAATGATTTTTGTCCATCATTTAAAAAAAATCTAACTAGCAGAGTCAAGATATTATGAAAAATGTGGCAATTTCCAAGATCCTTAGAATTTGTCACCCTAGGTTATATAGCTTTTTATAAAACATTTTTATAATTATAGGACTATATTGTCCAGAAGAAGTTGTTTCAGTGTTACAAGTGAAATCTAGAGGTTTCTAGAATTAGCTTCTAGAAACAATTCATTTACTTTTGAAGAATTATAATTTAATTGCTCAATATATAATTGAAATAAGATACTTGGTTTAGAAATTATTTTACTATACCAATATTTTTACCCTAACAATATTGCTGTAATAAGATTTCACTTGAATATTAAAAATTAACATTCATTGACTATATACCACAATTAATCTTCACTTACTATTATAATAATAGAATCTCATAGCTTGAAGTGTCCTTTGAGATCACAAGGATTTATAAGTCCTGGTTGCATTCCCAAACTCCTATTCCTAGTCTAGAAGACTCAACTTAATCCCTGCTTACTTCTCAAACTTCATGGTATATTTTTCGTTCTTTAGCTTTCTATGCTCCAGCCACACGGATAGTTTCTCAAACATCTCTAGGTCTCTTCCTGTAGGGCTTTTTTTTTTTTTTATTGAGGTGAAATTCACAGAACATAAAATTAGCCATTTCCAAGTGCAGAATTCAGTGGCAGTTAGTACATTCAGTTTTGTGCAACTACCAGCTACATCAAGTTCCAAAATATTTTCATCACCCTAAAAGAAACCCTATACTCATTAAGCAGTCACTCTCCATTCCCCCTTCTCCCCATCCCCTGGAAACCACCCATATGCTTCCTTTCTCTACGGATTTACCTATTCCAAATAGTTCATATAAATATTATTATATAATACGTAACCTTTTATATTTGGCTTCTTTTACTTAACTTGTTTTTGAGGTTCAAACATGTTGTAGCATATATCAGTACTTTTATTTCTTTTTATGGCTGAATAATATTCCATTTTACAGATATACCATATTTTCTCTATCCATTCATCCTTTGACAGGCATTTGGGTTGTTTCTACTTTTTGGCTATTGTGACTAGTGCTGCCATGAGCATAGAGGTACAAGTATTTGTTGAGTCCTTGTTTTCAATTCTTTGGGGTCTATACCTAGGAGTGGAATTGCTGGGTCATATGCTAATTCTATATTTAACTTTTTGAGGAATTGCCAAACTGTTTTCACAGTGGCTGCACCATTTTATATTCCCACCAGCAACGTGTGAGGGTTCCAATTTCTCCACATCCTTATACTTGTTTTGTTTTTTTGATTACAGACATCCTAGTGGATGTGAAGGGGTACCTCACTGAGGTTTTGATTTGTATTTCCCAAAATGACTAATGATGTTGAGCACATTTCTACATGCTTGTTGGCCATTTGTACATTTTCTTTGGAGAAATGTCTATTTAAATGTCTTTTCAGATCCCTGGCCAATTTTTAAATTGGGCTGTTTGCCTTTTTGTTGTTGAGTTGTAAGATTTATTTGTATATTCTGGATACTAGGCCCCTAACAAATATATGATTTGTTATATATATATGAGAATATATGAGAATTTATTCTCATTCTGTAGGTCATCTTTTTACTTTTTTTGAGAATGTCCTTTAATGCACAAGTGTTTTTAATTTTGATAGTGTCCAATTTATCTATTTTTTCTTTTGTTGCTTATGCTTTTGGTGTTATAGCTAAGAATTCATTGCCATATTCAAGGTCTTGAAAATTTATCCCAATGTTTCTTTGTAAGAGTAGACCATTTTGAGATCATTTTTGTATATGGTGTGCAGTAGGGGTCCAATTTCATTCTTTTGCATGTGGATAGCCAGTTGTCCCAGCACCATTTGTTATGGACACTATTCTTTCCCCATTGAATGGTCTTGGTACCCTTGTAGAAAATCAATTGACCAAAGACGTATAAGTTTATTTCTGGACTCTCAATTCTATTCCATTGGTCTATACCTCTATCCTTATGCCAGTACCACACTGTTTTGATCACTGGAGATTTGTAGCAAGTTTTGAAAACAGGAAGAACTTTGTTTTATTTTTTAGTGGATATTGTTATCACTATTTGGGGCGCCTTGAAATTTCATATGAATTTGAGAATCAGCTTTTAGGTCACTGAAATTGTCATAGGGATTGTACTAAACCTGTAAATCACCTTGGGTAGTTTTGACATCTTATCAATATTAAGTCTTCTAGTCCACGAACAGGGGAAGTCTTACCATTTACTTAAGCCTCTAATTTCCTTCAGCAATGCCTTGCAGTGTCAGTGCACTAGGGTTGCATCTCCTTGGTTAAATTTATTCCTAGGTATTTTATTTGGATGCTTTTGTAAATGGAATTGTTTTCTTAATTTCCTTTTTGGGTGGTTCACTGTTAAAGTATAGACCTACAACTAATTTTTTGCATATTGATCTTGTGTCATGTAACTTTGCAGACTTTGTTTATTAGCTCTAATAGTTTTTCTTGTGGATATTTTAAGGTTTTCTATATATAAGATCATGTCATCTGCAAAAAAGGATAGTTTTACTCCTTCCTTTCCAATATGGATGCCTTTATTTCTTTTTCTTGACTAATTCCTCTGGCTAGAATTTCCAGTACAGTGTTGAATAGCAGTAGTGAAAGGGGGCATCCTTGTTTTGTTCCTGATCTTAGGGGGAAGGTTTTGTTTTTCACCACTGAGTATCATATTAGCTGTGGATTTCTCACACAGCCCTTTATCAGGCTGAGGAAGTTCCCTTCTATTCCTAGCTTGTTAAGTGTTTTTATCACGAAAGGGTGTATTTTGTCAAATAGTTTTTCTGTATCAGTTGAGATGATCATGTGTTTTTTTTTCTTCATTCTATTAATGTGGTATATTAACTATTGATTGATTTTTGTATACTGAACCACCTTTGCATTCCTGGGAGAAATCCTACTTGGTCATAGTATATAATCCTTTTAATATGCTGCTGGATTTGACTTGCTGGTATTTTACTGACGATTTTTGGCATTTATATTCATAAGGGTTATTGGTCGGTAGTTTTCTTTTCTTGTGATGTCTTTGTCTGGCTTTGGTATTAGGACAATGCTGGCCTCATAGGATGAGTTAGAAAGTGTTTCCTTCTCTTCTAATTTTTGGCAGAGTTTGAGAAGAACTGGTGTTAATTCTTCTTAAGTGTTTGGTAGAATTCACCAGTGAAGCCATCTGGTCCTGGGCTTTTGTCGGAAGGTTTCTGATTATTGAATCAATCTCCTTACTTATTATAGGTCTATTCAGGTTTTTTATTTCTTCTTGAGTTGGATTGGTGGTTTCTGTGTTTCTAGGAATTTGTCCATTTCATCTAGGTTACCTAATGTTTTGATGTACAATTGTTCACGGTATTCTCGTATAATCCTTTTTATTTCTGTAAAGTCGCTGGTCATGCCCTCACTTTCATTTCTGATTTTCATGATTTGATTATTCTCTCTTTTTTTCTTTCTAGCTAAAGGCTTGTCCAATTTGTTGATATTTTCAAAGAATCAATTATTGATTTCATTGATCTATTTTTAAAATTTTCTGTTTCCATTATCTCCTCTCTAATCTTTATTTCCAAACTTTTCTGGTTTGGGATTTACTTTGCTCTTCTTTTTGTAGTTCCTTAAGGTGTAAAGTTATTGATTTGAGATATTTCTTCCTTTTTATGTAAGCATTTATAGCCATACATTTCCCACTAAGCACTGCTTTTCCTGCATCTCATCTCTGTAGGGCTCTTTTTTTTTTTTTTATAATTTTATTTATTTATTTATTTCTCCCCCCAAAGCCCCAGTAGATAGTTGTATGTCATAGCTGCACATCCTTCTAGTTGCTGTATGTGGGACGCGGCCTCAGCATGGCCGGAGAAGCGGTGCGTCGGTGCGCGCCCGGGATCCGAACCCGGGCCACCAGCAGTGGAGCGCGCGCACTTAACCGCTAAGCCACGGGGCCGGCCCTCTGTAGGGCTTTTGAACATACTATTTTCTCTGCCTGAGATGTTCTGGCTCTTTCCATGACTGACTTCTTAGGTCAAATACTTTTTGTTTTGGTAAGCTCTTCCCCGACTATTTTATCAAAATAGGTTCCCTTCTACCATCCCCAGCCCTTGATTCATACCTCAGCATCCTGTCTGTTTCCTTTAAAGCACTTTGTGTTTTGTAATTACTTTTATGTTTGGTTATTGATTTTCTGTGCCCTTCACTAGCCTATTTTTCCCTTGCTCACCACCGTATATACACAATGCTTTACACACAATGGACAGTCAATAAATATACGGAATGAGTGAATCTGTATGTGTCTAAGTCACATCCCACAAAACAGTACGGGAAATAATGATTTTCAGCAATTCAGGACAGGTTGGCATTTTATCATATGGCAACTTTTGATAAATATCTACTTATGTACTTAAAGTTCTGTTAACTACAATAATTGCATACTCACCTAATGTTGATTTATTTTTGCTGACTAGCCAACAATGATAGCCAAACAGAGAAGACAAGCTGACAGAAAACATAGCTGCAGCAAAGAATAAAAACATAATATGGAACTTGGCTTGAGTATCAGGTAGGCCATTCTATAAAGAAAGGAAGAAAATAAAATGTTTTGTCAAAGGGATAAGTATTCCCTACTTTTATAAGTATGTAAGATTTGTTTTTTTGCTTTAATTTTTTAAAAAATTTAGATATGGAGAAAGATACAGGGCTTTATGTAAAAACTTTGAGGAAAAAATATGTATCATCATTAAAATAAATGTTCACTGGAATATGAAGATATATATGGAAAAGATATTAAAATTTGGAATATTTATTTTGTTTTGCATAACTGAATCACAGAAAAATTATGGTAGTATGTAGGCAAACTATAACAGTAGGAAGCAAAACTATAAAATATAATTTTTATTTTACTTCCTGAAAATATTTTGTTAACATGTGATGGATTTTTAAATGTTTAAATAGTTTTGTTATAACGTCTGAAAATGAAGGGTAATTGGCACAATTTGGCTACTATTCTCATTGATGTTTTACATTACTACAAACGGCAGCATCAACTCAAGAACACATACAACAACACATCCACAATAATGGTTCAAGCTATTTTAAATAATAGCATCACAGAAAAGATCAACACTAGTGCATAACACCTGTCTAAAATGAACCTTACAACATCTGTGGGCTTAAACAGGCCATCTCAAAGCAAAACCAGTTTGACTCTCATTGTTTGTATTGTCCAAGGAGACCCAGACTCACTCTAGAATGGCAGGCTTGGGGCTATGGACACTTAATGGTGCACCAGAGCTACTAGGAGGTGTCCCCTTCTGATAGAAGGTCAGACTGTTTCAATATGCTGTAGTATCTGTCAGATTGACATCAGTCACAAGATCTCACTGATAGCTTTTGACAGCAAAGTCCTCACAGTAGAAACTCTGGTCATTTCTTTACAAATACATTTGTAGTTTGGAACTAAAACCATCCACGGGGATGAGGAGCAGTGACGTAACATTCTCTCAGACATTCTTTAAGGATCATTCTGCAAGCTGGACACTGGAAGTCTCCTTGAATGCTAGGGGCATGCCCAGACACCTGTGTGTTCCTTGTGTTTAGCAATGGTAGGCATTCAATAAATCTTTAGTCTTGAATGTGGTTCAAATCTCACATAAATGATTGAGCAATTCAGAAAGTCTTACCCTAATAAAGGACAATTTAATGAAAATAATAAAGCAATCCTGGCGGAGGAGAACTGTTTTTCACCATCGTTTGGTGTTCACAAGATGTATCTTTGGATATTTAAAATAATTTTAATTTTGTTTTGCTTACATTTAAAATATACAGTGCAGAAAACAAATGAGTTGCCTAAAGCCTATACTTAATAACAATTCAGGACATTATAGATATAATAGTTTAAAAAATAATTTTTTACACATAAAGAAAACACTTCTAAATACTGAAAAAAATCTTACACAGTCAATTCTCGTTATTCGCAGTGGGTATATTCTATAAAGTTGTCATGAACGCTGAATTTGTGAATACTGAACGATTGCTCCTAGCAAAATACAGCGTTAGGTTTCTGCAAGCCTGGGGTCACAATATTTTCATCACCTGATCAATACATAACCTTGTTTTATGTGTGTTTCTGATTAAAAACACCTTATTGATACCTTAGTTAATATATATTGTCGATTCATTAACACAGAACTCACGGCCAACAGCACCATCTCATGCCTGAAAGAAGCTTATCTAACACACGTATTTTCTCCAGAAGGCACATCACAGTCTTCTTTTGCTTGGAAACACCAGAGAGCACTTCAGCACTATGCATTTCCAACAGTGAACCAACAAAAAGCACAAAAATGCAAAAAAACGTGGCACTAAAAAGATTGAAAAGCACACTTGTTTACAGTTTGAGAGTTCAAACAAGAAGGCAGAATGTCGCCTTGTTTGATCTCAACTGGGAATGTGCACATGGGGCTACTCAAACTCTTCCCACTCAGTGCCTGTCTACAAATGACCACAAATGCTCAACGAGTATTGACTTTGGTGTTACAAATAAATGTCAGCAAGTAGGTGAATTCACAATACAGAATCTGCGAATAATGAGGACTGACTCATTATATTTGATTAAATATATAAATAGCTCTATTCTATAAAATTAGTGTCTGAAATAATTTACTACTGAAAGTCTCTCTATATATTTTTGTATACCAAAAAAGGTCACCAAGGTAATGACTTACTGTCCAAAATTTGATAAAATACTGTAAATCTGTAGCAGCAATAAAAACGCAGTACAGCAGGGAATAAGCCAAGAAAAGGAGGAAAAATTTATAATTTGAAAATCCAACACAATTGTTCACCCTGTTAATAAAACAAAAACAACATTTTCAATGAGTTTTACATTTTCACCCTAGGTATACATATGTTCAACCTTAACACAGTGGTTTCCTATCATTTAAAACTTATTGGCATTTCTTTAAGTATAACTCATAAGATTTCCTTACACATACAGACATTAAAAAATCCATTTCACTAAAAAGGAATTTCTGTGTTTAAATTTTTAAAAGTTGATATGTAATACTGCTTTAATCAATCATGAACCATACAACTATATTTCATGTCCAGTTATACAAAGAAGCACATGCCTAAAAGCATAGAGCTTGGAGAAACCTAATAAAGTCAGGCGGATAAGAGGAATTTACTAAATTCTTTCTCTATGTTACCCGTGGGTTTGATTTCTAACTATGATTAAGTCATTTAAAATCTTTCCAGTTTTTCCAAATGGGACGAAATATCTTCACAAACTACTTACATGCCGTCATCATGCCACTGAAGCAAGCAGATTATCAAAGTACATTAAATGGGAAGTTTAAGAAAAGAACTAGGACTGGGAGCCAGACAGCCAGGTCGTAATGCACATTGGACACTAGATAATTACGTGGCCCTGGACAAAGTGAAATAGTCTATAAGAATCTCATTTTCCTTATCTGTGAAATAAGCATTCTGAGATCCTTTCTGAGAGCCAGCTCTATATTCTATAATTCCAAATACGGAGATTTAGAATTCTCAGTTCTTACTCTAAAATCATTATATTTGGAGGAGGGGGCAAGAATTCAAACTATTATATCAATAAACATAAATACAAATATAACTCATACTTTATAGTCACTTTTTTCTATCAAAGTTTTTTTTTTCCTTTCACAAAGACAAGGGAATTCCTGGATGATCTTGTGTATATGTGACACAGCACCTGAGGGGAATTAGCTGATATCTTCACTGGTTGAATTGACTTTGTTAACCAGTATAACAAACCTATTGCACAGAACATACACATACTGTTTCCTCTCCTCAAATGCCTTTGTTCCTACTCTAATGTTGGTAAAATAATGTCAGTCTCCACTGATTTTGCTAATAAATGGAAACACTTTTCTTTCTAGATGGTTAAAGTGAAACTATGTTCATATGAAAAATGTTTACTCAATTATACAAGATGAATACGTTGACTCCATTATACAAGATGAATACGTTCTAGAGATCTGCTGTACGACATTGTGCCTATTGTTCACAATACTTTATCGTGCACTTAAAAATTTAAGAGGATAGATCTTATGTAAATGTTCTTATAATAAAAAAAACACATTTTTAAAATTAAAAAAATAAAAAAGGTAAAACCTTTACCTGGCTTATGAATAAACCATAAATTTGAAAAAAAAAAAAGGAAGAAAAATGTTTATATCTTCTACCTTGAAAAATATAAGGTGAAGGGAACAGCATTAGATTTAGTAATTTTGGAACTTAAGGGTATTGTATATGGAAAATAAATTCATAAAGAAGGAAATACTGCAGGTGCAACTGTAAGAAAACAGTTATATTTGCAGCTCTAGAGATTCCAGCGTGAGTACAAACCAATTACTGATATTGCCTTTTATGACATCTGAATGACAAACGGCGAGAAATAATACTGCAAACAGTTCCATACAAGCCTAGTCTAATTGTATTCTGTCTCAGAAGGATACAGGAGATTCCCTTCACTTACTTGAGTTGGTTTCAAGAGGAGAGAATGGGTGGACAAAGGCTGGGATACTGTAAGACTTGGGACTTTGTGGGTGAAGACAATGACTCTTTTGTGGACTAGGGGAAAATGAGAAGGGAGAGGAAAGATTGTTTCTCTTCCTACAGGAATGTAAGAAGCAGTTTTTTTATCAAATGATAAATAGCATTTTTATAGAAAGTAAAATGATTTTGATCATAGGTTTTATAACACCTAATTTAGCTTACTTTAACTTCTACTTAGGAACACGGTGTAATTTGCCATGTCAGAGCCAGGAAACACAGGAGAAAGTCAGTAAATAAAGACCAAGTATTTTAGAATTTGATATAGAGACTTTATACTTGAGGAAATATAGTAATAATATTTATTTTTAATAATACCTTACTCTCTTCATAACAGACAGCTTTTGGTTACACGTTTTAACTGCCTACTGCTTTGTAGACTCAATTTGAAAAGGAAGAGGACGTATTCTGTGTCTGAATGATTTTATATGGAGAAACAAAACACGTTCTAGGTAAATATCCCTTATCTGTTGTTTAAATTCCGTGTAAACAGCTGTTGCCTCTGTTTCAGGGAAGTGCTTCTGCTTCTAAATTGGAAAAAGAACATATTATGGAAAGAAAATTGGAAACAACGTGGCCTTCTAAGTCCAAAAAACTTGCAGTGCGACTTGGAGCCCAGCTTTAACTATCTACGCCTCACTTTCCTCCTCTTTAAAATGGGACAAATAATTTCCACTAATTTCTGTCATTGTTATAAGCATTACAGATTTTACATATATGTATAGACAGTCTCTAGTACATTATAGGCAATCAATAAATTGAAGCTAAAATTATTGAATTAGTGTTACCTAACCTTTGGCAAGCAATGTCTAAGTATATTATTAACATAATTATTTAATAAATGAAAATTTTATATTAAAAGAAAAAATGCTTCTCTGATAGGAAACCCAATGAAGCAAATACTACAGGATCTCTATTTATTTAAAACAGTGTGAGGTGATCCTCTACGCACTGATGGTAATCTTAACTGGCCACAACAGATATGCTGAAGTCGCTAACAGACAGGCACTGTTTTCTCGTTTTTAAAATGCTCCAAGTTGACAGATACTGAATTTCAAAATCATACAAGATCTGTATAGAAAGGTTGCCCCACAGTTTGGGAACATCCTAAAGGTCTTTTAATAAGTGACTTCTATATTCACTTTATTTACAGCCATTTATAATGGCTATAAAAAAGATTTTTTTATACATTGATATGGGAAATTTTCCAGGATACATTAAGTGAAGGGGAAAAAAAAAGGGCAAAGATTCAGTCCATAATGGAACCACTTGTGTTAAAAAAATGTGTAAAAAATTTTCTGTGTGTATAAAAATAATTTCACACACATACACATTTATATCTGAAAAGTACACAGAACACTGAGCAACACTGATTCCCTGTTAAGAGGGGAAGAAGGTGGGTAGCTAGGAAGAGCACTTGCATTTTTTTAATTTTTAAATTTAGAACCACAAGTATGTGTTATCTACAAATTTTTTAACTTAAGATTTTAATTTGAAATTTAAAATAAATAAGTAAAATGGCCGCTCCATTCAGCTGGCACCCGGTGAATATTAGGCCCTTGGCACCAAACCCTTCACAAACTGACCTGCTACTGCTTTCTGCAAGGGAGTGTCCAGAGCTGAGATGGGGCTGGGACAGTGGCTGTGGCAGGGAAAACGGTAGTGCAGAGAAGCAATAGCACAGAAGTTGAAAGGTACTGCAGTCAGTTCATTCACCTTCTTCCACACCGCCACAAACGGTGAGATGACAACAGGCGGTATATAGGTATGCAACCTAAATCTCTAGAGTGTTGCATCTGTTCCCCTTCACTTATTTCATAGGGTCTGCCAAAATTTGAAAGATTGTCAAATTATGCTATAAATTTCTTATAAAGTCAAATGAACTGCAGGTTTAGAAAGACTGCTCTCGTTGTAAATTACTATTTTCTATTTTTATAACTTTGTGAGGATAGCAAGGGCATGCAAGCTTTGTAGGTACGTGCTAGCTTGGGATTAATCCTGATTGTTTCCACCTCTCCACTCCTTATCATCACAGTCTCTTACTACTTTAAGTTAGAAAAATCGGAGTCACCTCTATGCCCCTGATTTCTTTACTGCTCTGCTAAATTATACCTAGAATACACAGCTCCCCAGAAAGAAGGGTGTCTTACTATGGGTTCACCCCAAAGCAGACCCTGAGACAAGAACTTGGATACAGTTGATGAAACAAGAAAGGGAGAAAACCCAATATAGCATGTATTCTTGGCCCATCCTTCACTGGTTGAGGGTGGCCTCTGGAAGCATGACTGCCCTGGCACTTCTGGACTGCCCGGCTTACGAGCTGAACAAACCTCCCCAGGCAGAAGAGAGCCCTCAGGCAGAGAAGCAAAGAAACCACGGTGCCTGAGGTGCGGGGCTGTCAGCGGGCAGGGGAACTGTCCACCCAGGTGCAGTGATCTCACAGGGGATCATGGGGCTCTGGGTGGGGCACCAACAGCACGTGCTACAGGAAGGTCAACAGAGGAAGACACAGAAGATCAAGAAAACCTGTAATTTAAGATATTGGGGGGAAACTACCTGCTGAGAAAGGAACAGAATGAATGAAATGAATGAAAGAATGAGGCAAGCAAAAGAATCACTACAAATGAAAATTAATACAAAGGGAGGATATTTTTTGAGATCTTTCTTTGAGATGAATATTATTCTCACAGGAGTTAACTAGTCTTTTTTATTTATTTATTTATTTTTTTCCCCCAAAGCCCCAGTAGATAGTTGTATGTCATTGCTGCACATCCTTCTAGTTGCTGTATGTGGGACGTGGCCTCAGCATGGCCGGAGAAGCGGTGCGTTGGTGCGCACCCGGGATCGGAACCTGGGCCGCCAGTATCGGAGCGCGAGCACTCAACCGCTAAGCCACGGGGCCGGCCCAGGAGTTAACTAGCCTTAACACTAAAGGAGAAAATCTAGGTGGAGAAAAGGAAGAGGCATCCTGGAGAGAGATATAGAATACTGTAAACCCGACATTCTTCTATTGTTTCCTGCAGCTAAGATAACCATTCCCCATAGATGTTACAACCTACACCTCGTGTAAATTTGTGGGCACGTCTATCTTTCTCTTGTGCCATCCCTGAAACAGATAAGGCTTGTAGAATTATCGTGCTTAATGTCCAAATCCAACCTGGCTGGCAACTTTAGCATGGCTGTCACAGGTATGTGCAAAGTGAGATAAAAAATTATAGGGAAAAGTAGAAAAATCAACCTTCATAAGTTAATTAGATCTTTCAAATAATCCTCTATTAAGTTACCTAATTTCATAACTTATAAATATTTTTTAAAATATTAATGAATCCTAAGAAAAAAGAACAAAGCAGGAGGCATCACAATCCCTGATTTCAAAACATACTACAAAGCAATAGTAATCAAAACAGCATGGTACTGGTACAAAAACAGACACACAGATCAATGGAACAGAATTCAAAGCCCAGAAATA